TATATCCCTGCAAGAATAAGAGACAGAACAAAGTGGAAGTTTCTCACCTGTTTCAGGACACCATTTAATCCTCCTCCACTGTTTGCTTTTCTCTTTATCCTCTCCTTCTCTTCCAGACAGCTGCCTTCAGAACAACTGCAGCAGATGGGAGCCTCTCTCCTTCCTCCGACCAAGGGACACCAAGAGCAGCACATCCACAGTGCCTGGCCTCAGATTCCCAGGGGAAATCCCACCAACTACTCCTCAAGGACCCATGCAAACTACATGGAAAAACAACGCTACCATCTGCATGCTTAAATCTACTGCTGTGGGGTCTTGCGTTGCCACTGGATGTTTTCACAGGGAGCTTACAGATCCAGAATAAAAGGCAGGAAACTACTGACACACAAATATGTGTTTCCCTAGGCAAAAGCTACACCCTGTGATTCCCACCTCTGCCCTACAGAGTGCACAGACCAGACCACTCAGGGCTCACAGACATTGCCCATGATATCTGCCATCTTTCTGGGAGTTCCCTGGGCATTCTTAAAATATGGGCACCATGTGGACATGGGCTGAATGGGATGAGAGATGGGATGCAGAACTGTGGCTTGATTTGGTGCAAAAGGTGACAGGAGGGTTTTCTGTGCATGGAAAAATCTTTCACTGCTAATTACCTGGTGTCTGTGGACCAACACGGACAACTCTAGCTCACTTAAGTGGCTCTAATGCAAATAAACCAAGGGGGATCAACCAGTGCACTAATAAAACTAGTTGAAACTAACTAAGCATGGCAGTATTCCAGGCAGCTTTGCTAATGAATTTCAATCATGAACTGAAATGTCTCCTACTTTCCTGATCAGAAAACATCAGTTACTTCAATTTACTAAATAAAACCACCAGTTCCCATCTGCTTGCTTGCCACCAGTAGTCCCTACCTTCATACTGACATTGTACTACCAACTCCAGTCTGTTTCCTTCACATTAATAAACAAGTACCTCAAGTCCATCTACAGGAGGTCAACTACACTTTTCTTCACAAAGAAAATTTATTCTTTCCCCTGGGGGGAAAAAATAACAAAAGATGGCAGCAAAGGATGCAGTTTTCACAGATTAAAAAAAAAAAAAATCCAAAAAAAAAAAAAAACCACCAATAAACCAACAGATTGTCACCTTCTGTACCTTGTAGAGATTTTTCTCTATCTCTTTCCTGCTGACAGCTCAGGTTCCTCCTTCTCCAGCATCTGGCCTAGGTAGATCTGGAATTCTTTGTTTCAGTTACACCTCTTAATAACTTAAGATGTTTTAGGCCCTGTGTATGGCATAGTCCCTGTACCCTTACTCTTCTTATTTCTAGTTTTCTGAATTTCAGATTGCACTTCAGACCAAGACTATATTATCAACAAACAGTTCTCACCCAATCCTGAAGGATGTCAGAATGGGAACAAGTGTTTTCATTAGGACTATTCAAATACTGTCAATATCATATTTACACAGCCTAAAACTCAGTCATTGAGGAACTCCCCTTTTCTACCTTACATTATTGCTTCCCAACTGCAGCAGGCAATACTTAGGTTGGAAAGCTTGTCCTGGTTGTCAATCTTTTCAAGAGTGAGAAAGCCTCCTTTATTATCTCAAAATTTCTCTCTTTCTCAGAGAAAACAGACCCAACATCCACAATCTTGCTTCAAGCACATCACCTATGTTGCTACAGGTTCCTCTCCACAGTTTAAATAACCTCAAGGTAAGAAAGTTATTTACAGCAAGTTCTTTTCTCTTTCCCTTTATCATTAATTCATATTCAACATATAAGCATTGTGCAGCAAAGAACACTGCAAAGATGCCTGAGCCAATACAGACCGGAGCTGGGTTCCCAAAAATCAGTGTACCTGTGTGTGATGATGGAACAGTTTGGACCACAACTAACATCACCCATAGTGGTTGCACCCTTCCACACTGGCTGTAGGCTGAACATCACCAGAAAGCTGAAACACAGACCTGAGCTGGCACACAGTCAGTTGTGGCTAACAGTTGGGCTGTATGAACCACCATGATTTGCATTGAACTTGTTCCTTGCAAATATAAGGTAAAATGTAGCTTAAAGACCATTCACTGAAATCTATGCTATCACTTTGCGTTTGCAGAGGGCTAAAAGCATGTGGTGCGTTACTGCGAGCCAGCTGATGCTTGCACCTGACCCTGTACTAGCATGCCTCATACCATGAAAATACATTTAAACCTACCTCAGGACCTTAAACAACTTCACTGCAAGAGCTCTTCTGCCTGGCTCATCCAACACCTGCTTCTCTCCATGGATACATCCCTCCCATAGGCTGACTGCTGCCTTTGTAATCCACTCTCCTCCACGCAACTGCTTAGCCTGAAACTACCTTCTACCCTTCATTTCTTGGTTACATTGCCATTTATTCTACCTCTCTATTCCTTTTACCCAGGCCACTGACTTCAGTGCCTGAACTAGACTTTCAGTAACTCCTGAAAGGGTCCTATGGGAATGCTAGTTTCCATTTAAAATTAACAGAATGCTAAATACTAATTAATATTTCCATAGCATCCATAGGGAGTTATTCCCTCTGGCTTTCTGGAGTTAGTGAAGTCACAAACATTTTGCTGGTAGCTTCTTCACACCTTGGCAATTGCAAAATCCTATCCTGGGACCAGGATTCCCTCTTTCCTCTTCTTTGCAAATGGCCCCCAAGCAAACCACCTGTAATTCAAACAGTAATATTATCCTTTCCTTCTCAAATGTCATAATTTTGCTTTGCCTTTTATTCTACAGCAGAGTTGTTTGTGCAGCTTAGCAGCAACAGAAAAAAAAATAAAACAACTAGTTTATTTTGTGAAACAGCAGACATTTACCTGCTGCCCCAGTGTAACCCAATGTTGATTAAGTGATTTCTTGCAGAAAGCAGGGCCCTACCTGACACACAGCAGAGGCACCTGTAAGGGGGTTCCCACTGACACTTTGTGGCACAACTGCCTGAGACCTTCAAGGTATTCACTTGGAAGAAGCCAAGAATCCAAAGCTCCTTGGAAAGAACAAGAGCTCGGTGGCTCAGCATCCTATGCAAATCGCTCATTTCCATTTCCAAACAGTGAGCCTTGTTTCTTAGACTGCTGCAGGTCCTGACAGAGATGGTAACTTTTTTGTAGGTACTGTTATATCTGAGTCAATAAGGGTTCCAATCAGATTTAATTGTCAAGACAAAGATAAAATTATCAAGCAAAGAATGACCATGAAGCAGAGGTGCCTTTTGAATTTATATATGGAATTGGTAAATTTTCTTAAGCTTCTGGTGCTCTCTCTGCGAGGCATTGACACGACTGAGCAGTTTCTGAGCACTTACCAGAGGGTGGAATACTATGAAATGGTAAGAAAGTGGAATGTCCTTAAACTCTTCCCTTACCTGTCTAGCTTTAAGCAAGTCTATGTTTGAAGAAACATACATCACCAAGAATCTAATTTACACACTGAACTATCTCGGATCCCTGCACTCTCAGAATAAATAAATGGCTAAATTGAAATACTGAATGTCATAAATCCTTTCTTCCTTTAAGAGTAATCACAGAGATTATCCTGTAGACCTAAGTGATTAGCTCCTAAAGCAAACTCTTTCAGAAAAACAATTTCTTAGCTTCTAAGAAGTCAAAGCAAGATCCAGAACCATGGCAAAACCCTTCTGATGTTTGTTGCAAAGAAGAAGAGTTGCACAGGGGTTTCTGCAGAACAAAAGAAAAGCCTTTTTGCTTAAGATGGAAAGTTGCTGTGCTGGCTGAAGCCTTTTCTTAGCAGGTGCCAGAGCAGGTTTCTTTGCATGTCCATCACCCTTCCTGCAGCTTGGATGGGTTACCATTTTAAATTTGCAGGGGATGGAAATCTGAATAAATCACTCAATTATGTCTGACTGTACAACAGTTTGGGAACAGCGAGGAAAACCTGATCAAACTCAATTTTAAGATTACCTTCAGATTCAAAGCTCTTGAGCAGGAACCTTCTTTGTTCTTCATTTGCACAGTGCCTAGCCTAGTTCAGCAGGGACCTGTCAGGACTAGGGGTCCTAAGTTCTACAGCAATACAAATAATAAATTAAAAAATAATAATACATAGTATATGATCAATAATACCTACTTTATACCCTGTTTTTCAAAGACACACTGCACCCCAGCAAATACTTGAAAAATATGGTAACATCGTTACCAAAGTTGCAAGACAAATGCAATTTGTTTGATGCAAATATTTAACTTCAGGGTTTAAGTGGCTGGGAAACTCATTAATATTGCTTCACCAGCACTGAAACTAACATGGACCAGATAGATGTAACCAGTTCATGCACAGCCTTGGGAGAAACTGGGGGGAAATGTGGAGAAGCCAAGATGCAAATCCATGAACAACTAACTCCTCATCTCCACCATCTTCATGCTAAAAGGAACCAGATGCGGAAAGATATTCAGTGTTTTTTGGTGTTGGCCTTTTCATTTGGAACATAAAACAGAGACAGATAAGATAGGCAAATCGTAATGAAACATTACATAAATTCCCTATGGCTATCTCGTTTTTCCCAAATGACTGCTGCATGAAATTCAAAAATTAAAGACTGGGATTTGAGAACAAAATAATAACTTAAAAAGGAGACATTTAGAAGAGAATTTCCTAAAGGTTTCATTCTTTCCCCACTCTTCAGCAAGGACAGCAAAAATACGATCCTAAAGAGGAGAGAAGTCAGAGGGGATTAGAAAGTCCAGTCCTTCAGCCTGTCTCCCATTTCTCTTATTTTTACAGTAGGTTATTTAAGAAGCGGTAGATGCTCCAATAGAAAGCAGGCAGCAGCAAATACAGGCATCATCTCCTCCTTCCAGCTGGTCCGTGCAGTCTCAGTCTCTTTCTCCAAGAAGGAGAGGTTTTCCTTCCCACACTTGTTACCTCCTTCTAGTGTGGGACAGGGGAGAAGCATCTGCCAAGGGTCGGGGTCTGCCATGTCTGAGGCTCCCCTCTCTCTGCTGGGCTAAAAGGAGCTCAAGTATTCCAGTGCAACCTCATATACAAATTTATACTGTTCCTGAAAGAGAGAATAGAAGTCAGTGGCATTGGGATACAGGTGAACTGTTCGGACACTCATCCTGCAAGCTGCAAAAAAATGCCTCCTCTCTCTTTCTTACTGGTCTTAATGGTCCTGTACATTTGACAGGACCAGGCAAACATTAATTGCATTTCTATGTGATAGTAAACAAGTATTGTTAAGAGTCGTCATAATCAGTGGAAGAGAAAAATGCTCTAAGAGACAGCTACCCAATGGGCTATTCATTATTTGCTTCACAGCCTCATCACACGTGGCTTTTGAGGAAAGAATTCAGCATGATCAGTTGGGATGTCTGAACTCAGGATGGTTTAATCTCTCTCTTGCAGGGAGCAAGGTCTGAGGTGCACTCTCCTCCCTCCATGATTTCAAGGCATATCACAGCAACAAGCACCAGGCTGTATGCATATACAGGAGGACAAATTCTACCTGCTACCATAGCTAAGGTGACAGAAGCTTGGGGTTTAATCTTCTGGGTGCAGGAGATGTTACCCACCTTGCTGCCAGGGTGGCTGCTCCACATCTATTCAAGGAGAGAAGCAGTGGGACTGGGAGATTCCTCACACATGCCAAAGCAGGGCTGGCTTTAATCCTGCTGCATTTATGGTATGTGTGGTTTTGATTCATGCTGGGCTAAACTAGAAAATCTCAGACGTATTGTGAAGTCCCCATGCCTATGCTGGGTGGAGAAAAGTGCAGGAAACAAGCTTACCAGTGACTCCACCATGTTGGACTTGTTATTCCGTAACGTTTTCACTATGTGGAACACGTCAATGATATTTTGCTGTTGAATCATTTCACACACACTGCAGATGGCACAGAAGGTGCCACTTCGTCCCCCACCGTTCCTGGTGCAGAAGAAAAGAGGCAACAGATGAAGCCAGGCAAGGGATGAAAGCACAGCTTACAAATCAGCACGTACACCAAGAGAGGGGTGCGTTCACCAGCCTACTTCAGGAAGCTCATGGGTTTGTGAAAGCGCAGCTCTGCAGGGCAGCATGAGAGCTGGCAGAGCCATGGCACAAAGGAAAGGCTAATGCCATCCCTGGAAGCAGTGGATGGCACTGCTGGGCACTGCTCTGCTTCTTCTCACTCCTGTGGGGCTCACAACAGAGAGCAGCAGAGCCTTTGGCTCCTCTTCACCACAGTCAGTAACTCTGGGTCAGGTAGTTATAATGCAGCGCAGTATTCGACTTAAAGTATGCTACAAATGTAATTTAACTTCATTTTCCCCAGATGAAGCCTGGCAAACCAGCAGGTTTGGACTGATACATAATCAACCTTCTGGACTTATTTCATGAGGTTACAGACGATTTCCAGCCCTACTTACAGGCAGTGGACCACAGTGCGGCCGTCCCTCCCATCGTACTGCTCCTGCCACTTCTCCAGCCTCCTGACCACCTTCAGCAGTGAGCGTTTGGATGGAGGGGTGTCCCGGTATGCTGGCCAGCCAATGTACTGCAGGTGCTGAACGATGCGATAGCCATCCTGGGGCTGAAACAAAGAGCATTTGCAATTCTAAAGGGAATGCGGCAGGAAGCAGAGAGAGGGTGAAGCAGAGGGCACTGATCATACATCTTAATTTGGTATCAGTGCTAGAATTCTCCACTCTGCATGCATGATACAGCAGGGAACAAGGAGTTTTCCATATTTTGGGTGATAACAATGATCTCAGGTGCTACGAAGCTAGGCAGAAACTAGATGCTAAGGACCCCTTGTTTTATTTCCAGTAGAGAAAAAATGTCTCACTGAATTCAAAGAATGGATCAGCTATGTCTTGCCTGGTACCTTGTGGTGGAGGTTCATCGTGTCAAAGCACGTAATGGCAAAGACAGTCCTCAAAAAAATCTCTGGGTACTAAGGCAGAAAAGATCCTCATAAGGATTTAGAAGTGGACGTTGCTGCTGAATGCAGGTGGGTGTGAGAAATGTGAGTTTACAGCACCCATCCTGAGAGCTGCGCATTTACAAGGCAGCTTCAGCATGCAGTGTTATCAGCCACGGGACTGCAAGGCTGTCCCCAGCTCAGTGGCAGTCAGCTTGGGATGTGGGGTGGAGCAGAGGTAACTGATTCAGCTGCTCACACTGTTAGACCCCACGGCTCACTCCACAATGACATAATTGAATGGCTGCACAGGCTCTGACTACACAATCAGAGACAGTATGGAAATGCAATTTCTGGAGCCTATTTCCACTTCTGATTGGGGAAAAAAAAAAAAAAAAAAAAAAAAAAAAGAGTTTAATCAATCTGGGAAACAATTAATGGGAGAAAAATCCTCTGCTGAAACTCTTGCCGCAGCCCTGAAGTTGTATTGCACGGGTCTAGAGTGCAGACAAACCTTGCTTCTATCATGCCAGCTATACAGGGGCTGAGGGATACAGACAAAAAGTTGCTTGCAGAAATGGCAGCCGCTTATTTATAGGAGAACAGTGGCAATTAGGAATCCCAATCGAGCTGGTAAATATTGCATTTATCTTCAGAAACACTGCAGAGCAGCTGACAGATAGGGAGCAGTTGACACTATTCCAGCTTATTTCCTATGATGCTGATACTTTTATTGTTTCTACTAATGGATTAACTGTTCTCAAATATATACAGAAAAATGCACTCCATTCGAATCCAGATTTTCAGCTCATACCATCCATTTTCTACTTTCAGCCAAAAGGCTTTCACCAATATAGACTAATGCAATTAAATGTTAATTAAAGGAAGTAGCTACTAAATTTCCGCAGTGGAATTTTGTTACTAGGTGAGTGATTCAGCATCTCAGAACCACAGACTAGATTCTGCCTCCTTCCCATGCCAAAATGTATTTGTGAGAATAAATAAGGAATGTGATATTTCACTGCTCTTACCCTGGCCATGTTGCAGATCCGGAATATCCGGTTGATGATGTCTTCATCGATGTCTGCTGAAACAAACTCTACTTGAATTGGGCCATAGCAACAGGACGTCTTCTCTGGCCAGTACTGCACACAGAGCTGGTGAGAATATCGAAAAGAACCAGAAAGCACCTTAATATTAACAAGGGAATATATCATCAGTCTTGTCTCACTTCAGACGGCCAGCCAGCACAAAATCCATAACCAATCCTCTGTTACGGAATGCATTTGCTCAGAAAAGACCTCTCTCTAGCTTCAGGAAACTTCTTGATATTATGAGTCTGAAGACAAAAAGAAACGTATTTTAGAAGCTTCACTTTTTTTTTTTTTTTTTTTTTTTGTCTTTTTCAGTATGAAAACCATTGAATCCAGGGTGTAAAGGTGAAGGAAAGTGGCAGAAAAATGAAGCTCCTACATGGAAACGGAGTTAGAAAAGAACATTAAAAGATCAGGTAAATGCAATAAAATCACAGAAGTGTGGTGTTAACGAGGAAATGGCACACACCAACAAAATTAATCTTAATTCAAGCAAAGAGGAATTTTTCTGCAAAATGAACTTCTTCTGCTGATACTACTGAATTCCCAGCATACAAAACCCTACTATTCACACAAATTACTATCTAAGTATTTCAAATCCATCTGGAAATAGATCATGGCAAGAAAATATTTTGCATGAGATCTCATTAAGAATTTCCGCTGAGATTGTATTTTTCTGGGTTTTTTTCCTCCTATTTTCAAGAGTAATTTTTGAGAAGTTCTGCAACCACCAGGTGCTCATTTGAACTTGATCTCGAGCTTTTCAAGTTCAATCACTGTCAGTAATAATGTCAAGTGTGAGCATACTACTGCATTAACTCTCTATTCCTGTTCTTCCTTTGATCATATGGGGCTGAAATTGGGTGGGATAGTAATGAGATTTTATGCATCTTTGCCCTTGTTATTTTGTCAAGATTACAAAAGCACACGAAGCCCACATAAGCAAGCTCTCCTTTGAAGGTTATCTTCACTCTTCATCCAGATTTTTAAGCAGCCTCCAGACCTCTTCTCAAAGCATTTGCCCAAGAGGCAAGGAGATGGGAGCTGAGCTGTAGGAACCATCCTCAAGGTGCAGTGCGAAGAACAGGAAGATTAAACTTAACTTTAAAAATCACTGTTCATAAAGCAGGTCTGTGAACGATCACTCAGACTGACGTTTGTACGGTGCTTAAAATGGTCTGTTGTGTTCTCTGAAACATGGTTTGCTTTGCACTTTGCACCCTGCTTGCTTCCCTATTTACTACATTTTCATTTATTAACTGCATACTTATTTTTAATCACAGTTTTTATATAAGCAGGTTTTGTATTTTGTGCTTTACTCCTGTAGATGAGCGAGATGTTCCACCTAGCCACACAGATGTGGTATCTTCTGCACACAACTGTACACCGACAGCTGTGTCATGCTTCGCACTTGGGTGAGGCAACAATGAGCAGCTAGACAACAACACTGCTGTACAGCAACAGCGCAAGCATAATGCTGCTGCACAGTTACACTTCCTCTTCAGAAACCTCACCTTCAAACTGCTATCAAACTTTCACACCTTGCCTTGAGAGCTTTTAAAAGCTCTAAAGCTATCCTTACTTCCTGCGGTAGCTGGGTGCATCCAGCACTGGCTGCAGACTCAAGGTAGGTGACACCACGTTGGAATGACTGTCAAAGTGACTTAATGCGCTGCCAAACCTCCTCTCCTCCTCTCCTGTGCCTGCAATCTACCTGATAAAAACAGCAACATTCTAGGGGAAAAAGCCACAGGTAAAGTCTTTGGCAGAAAGACAGTCGGCAAAAGTAACAGGCTGAGGCTGATGGGTTTGTGCTTTCTAGGAACGAGGTGTGAGAAAGAACTCCAGGTTTGCAGAAAATGCTGTGCTTTACAGAGTCTGCAAAAAAAAAAAAAAAAAAAAAAATGCAATCTGCTCCCACATGTGGGCTCCAGGACTGCACAGACGACTGCGACTTGCTGTCATCAGGAGGGTCACTTCTGAGCACAGCCCTTACACAAACAGAAATGAAATCCCACAGCTTTCACCTGAAGGGATCTCCCCTCAGCATAGCAAGCCAAAGAGACCAACGATCCCACTGCCTTCAAGGCTGCTGAGGCTTCAAAGACAGCAAAGAGACAAACGAAAAATTAATCCGAGAAGCACCGGCTACTTAAGGGCTCTTCTCTTGTTTAACAAGTGCTGTAATGGGTGAATTAGCAATGCCAAACGTACCCTCCACACAAATTGCATGATTGCACCTTTTTGAAAGCTGCTATCTTCTACCACTCATCAGCAAGGTGCCTGCAATCCAGTGCAGCAGCTCCTGCCCTGCCACCTCGACTTCTGAAAAGAGCACTGTGGTCAGCAGCCAAGGAACCAGGGAACACATGGCACTTGAAAGAAAAGAATGAGAAATGCACAGCACAACGTGCTGCTCCAGAAGCAGTGCGAGCTGCATGTCTCACTACTACCAAATCTCATTGGAAAGCTCAGGGAGAAGATCCTTACAATGTTTTCCGCATATTGCTGGGTTTTATTCTTCTGGAAATAACGGGTGAGCAGGCAGGCATGGAGTACATATGCCTGGGAGGAAATGGGAATTGATTTGGGAGGAAACTTAGGCCCACAACAGCAGCATACACAGATAGTTAATCACTGTTAATCGCAGTAAGAATTACTTGCCTTAGAAGGAGTCAAGCATGTAGACCTGAACCTTGCTCTTCCACAGTACCCCAAAACATTGCCTGCTACATTCCAGTTCCCATTATTTATTTTGTTTTATTTATTGGTTACAAGCAAATGGCTGTAGAAACCCCCTGAAGACCTGGATCTAAGAATAAAGCTATGTGGCTGAGATGAAGAAAAATCCCTTACCTGTGCAGCATCCATCTCATTCAGCATCACTACGGAGGAGCAGTTATAATCAAACACCAGCCTCCAGAAGTCTGCTACGGTGTTGGGCAAAGGGTGCTGGGTTACAATAAAGGCAGCAGGTTGCTTGTGGCTCTAACAAAAGAATAAGATTAGTTTAAAAAAAAAAAAATTCAATCAACTTTTATTCAAACGAATATTACACCCGCGAGGCTATGGCTAGGCAATCTGAGCCATTTAACCAGATTATACAAATCACATATCCTTCTCCTTGTTATCGCTATGCAATGAATGAATGTCTCATAATGGGATTCTTTTGCACCCAATGAAGACATTTCATTAAGGAGGTGTCACAAGAGCAGAGATTACCCAAATCAATTATTTATATTTTGAGACTCAGCAAATAATACTAATTCTACTATTACTACTACTACTACTATCAGTAATGTTAATAATGGGAAACAAAACAGCTAGAAGCAAAGGCACTCCTTTCTGCTGCAGTGGACTCCAGAAACTAGAGCAGGGATTAGCCCCCATCTGCCATTGCTTCCCAGTGGCATAATGCTACCCAAGTGGCACATTCGGGTGGCAGGACATGGGGGAGTGGTCAGAGTCGCATTGCTGGCATTCAACTTCTGCTGCTATTCTTTCACATCAGAAGAGCCTTCTGCCCTCAATTTCCCTAACCACAGAGCGGAGAAACTGTGGTCTGAACCTCTGCAGAGCTGTGGTAATGAATGTTTGTGAGGCATTTTGAGATGAAAGGGCAGCAGCTCAAAACGTTATCTCTTTTTCCAACCACGGCATGCAATGCTTAAATGAGCCTACAAATGCTCCGTCCTTTGTGCTGTACATCTGTGAAGTAGACTTGAATCAAAAGGTATAATTTGGGTTAAAAAAAATACCTAAATCAGATTTTGGTTTTAAAGTAAAGAAATACAGAAATGCTGTAAGTATTAAGCTAGTGGCTGCAGGGGCTGCCTTTTCTCCTCCCTGTGAACCAGCTGTGGGTGCAATGGGCCCCTGGTGGGAGGGGTGCTGTGCATGTCCTGCACCCCTCTGCAGAGTGGCTGCATCATGTTTTGGGGCGCACAGGTGAGCAGGTGATTCCCTGCAAAGTACGGAGAAGGAAAAGGAAAGCCGTTGGGAAGTGATGAGTCTGGAAGGGCTCTTCTTCTTTCTTCATACAAAATAAAAGTGATTAGCAGAGTTTTGTGTGGGAGGAGATGAGAGCCTTAAAGGTAAGGGGAGCTACAACAGGCAAACACATTCCCAAGCCCTAGGTAATGAGACAACTGATTGTGCACGTGCAGATCTGCCAGTGCACAAAACATTTTTTAAAGAAAGAAAGTTAAAAGTTTCCTTGAGCATATTTGCAATAAAAACATCACAGTTTTGTGAACAAAAAATCTAAAATCAATTCTATCACCATTTTTCTTAACCTCTTAAATGCAGTAGTATCACTATACCCAAAACCTGAAAGAGGAGATAACAGAGACCGACTCTACTCAACTGTGCTGGGGAAAAAATGATGACACTTCTCCCCAGATCATATTTACATATACTCCAATTGCAGTAATTAGCAGTTCGAAGGCACCTCTGTCCAAAAGCAGTTTAGGTACTACAGTAAAAAGAAACCATCAACATAATTCAGCCACTATAGATGCCCCATGCTGTGAGTCTGTAAACAAAGCAAGGGAAAATGCCTTCAGACAGATTCACATCAGCTTAGCTCATGTCCTTCATCCCTAAAGCTTTTTGCACATCTGATCCCATATTCTTAACTGCAGTAGCTCAGATAAATCACTCACTCCATGCCACAAACTGTTCTTTTCAAAGAGCTGACGTGGCAGCTCCTGGTGAGCATTTCCCTTCCCACCTGTGCAGCAACCAGTGGGAAGAGTTGTCCCACCACCCCTTCGTTCATTTGCCATTCTAAGACGCACCCTCAGACTGCACGCTCACAAGCTTCTCAGCCAAAAGTTTTGCAGCAGCCCGAGGCAGAACGACACAGGCTGTGATTTATCACATTACCAAGTGACACATTTCTGTGAAGGAGAGAAAATCCACGTGGCTTTGCCCAGTTTGGAGATATCAGACTCAGAAACTACGGGGGGGGGGAAAGGTTTCTTGCTTTTGATTCAATTCTCCCAGAAAAGTAACCCAAGAAGGAATAAACCCAGTGCAGTGACAAGGGGACAGGGGGGATGTGCAGAGCTGCTTACATCCATGAGCGCAGCATTGATGTAGTTACTGGATTCGCCATCCACAGAGATGAGGAAGGGCAGGCTCCGGTCCAAGGGCAGCACGTCCATGCAGCGGTTCTTGTCATGGTTCCTCGGCAAAAGGCCGATGCTGCAGTCCTCTGGCCGAACCCGCGGTGTCACAATATTGAGAGTCTGTGAAAGGGGCAGGGAAAAAGGGAAGGAAATACAGAAGCAGGCTGAGCATCTTTGAATTCATTTCCAAAAACAATGCCATCTCCACTGTATGCTTATGCCAAAGAACAGAGATTCTGGAACTGGCATCCCAGAGAAGGAACTGGCATCCCAGAGAAGGAAAAAGAATGAGCACAGAGAAGCTCGTTGCTGCTAGAATACATCACACTGCACATCCTCCTGAGGTGCCCTCCCAAACACCATAAGCCCCAGCATAAATGGAGGGCACTAAATACCACGTAACAAATTCCAGCTGTAAAACACCCCAGCAGTTAGATAATGTTTCTGTTCTTTGCAGAGGCTGGAAATGGCTGCCACAGTGGTATGCTGCAGCTTTGACCTGGTGAAGGAGTGAAGCCTTCGAGGGTGGACGCACACATTCTTGCTCTTTGAGAAGATCCTGCGCACAAGTACCCTGAGTTCACCCACAGGCCAACTGGGTTCAAACCACCTCATGATTCCTCAGGCAAACTATTGATTTCTTTTAACAAAAAAACACCTACGAGAAAAGAGTTGATTTTTTTTTGTTTTGTTTTAAACAGTCAGTCAAGCTATTGCCCTGTTATTTAGATTGCTCCTTTCCTCATGGAGAGACATGCAGGCTGCTTCTTTTCCCCAGTCACACCTTATCTCTGGGGTCTTGCTGTTGGTCTTTTCCCCTTATCTGTCTTTCCCATAGCTTTACAGAATGTGTTTCTTTAAATGTAATTTTCTTTTGTGTTATCCACCGACAAACCAGCCCAGGTTACTCAGCAGCTGTTAAAAACAGCAAATCCAAGTGAACACATCTTTAACACTGTCATTTAAGCCATGGTAGATCAGTAGCTATCTGATGGCATTTTATTTCCACTTGTCATGTTCTCTTTCCTGAGCAAAGCAGTCATGCTGTGAATTCCTTTGCAACCAACAGATGAACACAAAATACTGAGAGGCCAACCATTTTTACAGAGAGGTTGATTTCATCCAAAGAGAAGTTGTGAATGGAGAAAGGAGAAGGGTCAGACCACCTGTTATAGGAAGTTACATACAGAAAAGTAACATCAGAAATCGTGTTGCTCTAAGTTATGCACACAAGTCCCCTTACCTAGGATGGGAAGCAGGCAGTCTGGCAGGGAAGAGTAATGAAACCTGAAATCTCTGACAGCGCAGATAATTAGGTGAGTAACTTGTTAGTGATTTACTCCTGACTATTTTATGTCCTTCTCCTTGCTCACTTGTTTTTTGTAGCTTACTCAGAACATAAAGACTCCCCAGAATGAGCTTTTATATGTTCAGGCAATGTGCAGTGCATGAGAAATCTATCCAGTCTTACCTGAGGGACAGCGAGACCTAAATAATACAGATTGGACCAATAGATACAGTTAGATGAACTGGTTCATAAAGATTGTAGCAAAAGATACCATCCTATGCATTAAAGCCAAACAGCTAAGGCTGAAGAATGCTTTAAGCCAAACCCCTGTAAAAACAGCATCTTAGTACTAGACAGCAAACGAACCTCTTATGCAAAGCATGGAGGAGCATTTCCTACCCAAAGGAGCTGCCAGCCCCTGGCAGCTCAAAAGAACAAGCACGCGGGCGACAAATCTCACTTCCTATCATGACAAAATAAGCACACTGAGCGGTGTCATTTTTTTAATAGTACAGCAGCACTTGATGAAGTCAGGCTTCGGCTCCCTCATGCCAAGCGTCCATAGCCAGAAACGCTTTTACAGATCTGATATCACTTGATAAAAGCAGATATATTTTTTTTAATTGAAGTGTCATCAGTTGGGATCCATGCTCTTTATCTCACTACATCAACCCAGATGATTCTCTGCAAGGTTTCAGATAAAACATACACATTCTGTCTTCGTGCAGAGAGGGAGCAAATGAGGCATCTAGCTCAGAAAGCTAGACAGCTTCCTCCTGGAAAAGACACTTGGCTGGGGGACAGAGGGGCATCTCCCACAATAAAAGCAATCTCCATCTTTTCACTGCTGACTAAGAACAGCTTCTTAATAAATAGCAGTCTCTCTTTGCAGTCAAAATCATCTTGCCCTAAATTTCCAACAACATTATGTTGGTTGAAAATCCTGAAGGGACTTACAGATATATTGAGAATCAGCCTAGGAAGCTTAGTTCACTGTTCTGAAGGGTGAGTTCTCTGCTGTGTTGGAGGCACCCTTGCACAGAGCTGGTAGCCTCTGTGTCGCAAGCCCCATTTTACCTGTGTGGGATAAGTACTGCTGTTAGCCCAGCAGTCCTTGTTTCTTGCTCCAGTCAAACAATGCTACTCCAGACTTGTGAGTGTTATTATATGACATTCCAGTTCTGGCCACAGAGTATTCATAAAAACGTTCTGGGTGAACAGAGGGCTTCAATTCACTGAAAATTAGTATTAGAGAAAGCAGCACTCACGGAGCTCACTCTCTTTGTATGGAAGGACATCAACAAGTTGATTGTCAAGACTCTGAAGCAACAGACAAGCCACAGGAACAGTTAATAAGGGGCCTTGAGGCATAAATGTTTCTGCATAAATTACAGAAGGAAATGAACAACTGAATATTTGCTGAAATGAGAAGTACAACGTTATCTGCGGAAATTAAAATCCTTGCTCTACTGAAGTGATGGGAACTTTTCCTTGCCAAAGGCTGAAAATCTCATGCTTAAAAACAAACCTCTGCCTGATTCAGTTCTAACACAACAAAAATAACCAGAAATCAGACCTCATCTCAGTGTCACTCTCCTCCGCTGTGTTGGAAATCATAAAATAGCACAGAAATTGATTAAACACCATCAGTACACCAATTGCAATGACCAAGACATGACATTACCTGAAACTCATCTTTTATCTGGCTGGAATTGGTCTGTGGATCTATCCTGCTGATGTTGTAATATATGGATCTGAACTCACAAACTGGAATGGCCGTGTTGCCGCAGAGACATGCCTCCAAAATGGCATCATGGACAAATACATACTGTTCCTGCACAGGGGAGGGGATGAGATATTAAAGTCATGTTTTCACTACAGATCATGAAATATCATACTTTTTTTTTTTTTTTTTTTTCTTAAGTCATGCCTGCTATGCATATTTGGCTCAGTTTCATGTGGAGACAAATTACACATTGTGCTATGTGACAGCTTTGTGAGCATATTTCATCCATCACTGAATGTGAGGTCTCATGTATTCATTTCAAATTTACAAGTCTAATGGTAAATCACCAGCACTGGGAATGCTGGGACAAAACAGGGCTGGGCCAGGGGGGAATTCAAGGAGGCAATTGCAAGGCAATGGTCTCTTTATCACGGAGAATTTGGCTTGTGCTTCAGACCAATGACAATAACAGCACAAATGTAGGTCTGCTCCACCTGTCTCTTCAAAGCTCCCAGAGAATCTGGTACTCTGGCAAAGGATATTTCTGTAAACAGAACACGAGATACGAGAAACCTGAAAAGTTAAAAGTTTTTCTCTGTTCCAGACTTTTACTCTGCCCATCAGGAGGGGAACACACATCAAACTTGTGTAGTGGGATAACAGTCTGAGAGAAGTTTATACAGCTGCTAAATGGTACGTTCAGGAGCAGCTTGCTTCATCTGCACCCGCTGTTTAAATCCAGGATGTTTCATAGTTTGAGCTTGCACTTGATACAAAATAGGTACTGAGTTTGCAGTGCACCTACAAATGATTCAGCAGTGACCTCTTCTACTGTGAGAATAAATCAATCAGCAATGCTAAGGCCTAAACATCAGTGCTCGTCCTCCTGCCTTGAGCTCTGAGCAGCTGCCTGTGAACAGGATTCAGCATCTGGCCACCCTTAGCAAAGAAAGTTCTGTATAATCCCATCACAGAGGAGGCAAGCATTGACTTAATGAAGTGTTGGGCCCCTGTGAAGCAGAGGAGCTTCATAGGTGGAAGGAGACCTGCTGGCACCTACCTCTGTCTGCACCAAATTGACCCTCTGGGAGCGCAGCTCTCGCACGCAGTTAAATATATCAACCACACCTTCGTTCTCTGCCATGTCAAGCATGATGTCAATGGCAATGAAGCACCCTGTTCTCCCAGCCCCAGCACTGGAAAAAAAAGAGAAGGCAATGAAGGTCCACACAATCAACGGACTGAGCGGAGGCAGGGCTTTGTGGAGGAGAAAATAGACATACAGAAAATAACTACACAGAAAATAGCTGTACAGAAAATAGCTGCATGGACACAGCTGCTTCTCCTGAAAGCTGCTCCCCATGGTGTGATTTTTGTGCTTAGTTAAATTAGCTTTGCATTTAAGAGAATGAGGTGAACTAATATTTCTGGGAATGGCAATGGGCCCAGGAAGGGACACAGAAAGCTTTGTTTTCTCAAATGTCAACAAAAACATCATTCTACAAAACTAGTCACTCTGATTTTACAGATCAGTTTACATGCACATCACAAAGGATGTGGGAGAGCAGCCTCTGGGTTGCAAAGATACCCAATTCAGAAGGGGTGGGAGTTGGATCTGCTTCTCCAAGGTTTTCCTTCTCGTGGGACTACTAAGAAGCATGCATGTGTACTCAAGAGGGCTCAATGGGAGGGGATCAGTTCATTTCCACAAACATTTTTTTTCCCTTCTTAATGAGAAGGTTTGGTCCCAAGTAGGATGATTTCAAGTTATGGATTGTATAACATTATAGAGAAAGGAGCCTGAGGCTACTCAAAACCTTCAGCTAAGACCTCCCCCAGCTGCACATGAGAATTGAAGCATCTCTTGCAAAGTGTGTTGTCATCGTGTCCTCTTTCCCTCCTGGGAAATCATCCAAAGCTGTTTAGGTGTGAAGGATAGAAAGAGGAGAATGTCTCTAAACATAACACCAAAGGAAAAAAGGAAAACTCAGCTCAAATCGGGGAAACTTCTGTTGCATGAAAACTCCAGCAGAGCCAAAAGCAAGGAGATATGAATGACCATACATTAATGGACCAGATTAATCAACTGCTGAATAGAGAGAAGATATTTTTCATTTGCAGAATTTTAATGAATAAATGGCATTTCCTCTCTCTTTATCTCTCAGCTTTTCAGAATTTTAACAAATAGTTATAACACTTCTATATTTAGAGGACCCCAGCACTTCATAAATATCGAATAGTGATAATATCCAGCCAGGCATCGGTAGGGAGAATTTGGTAATTACCACTTAAAGCAAGTCATTAAAATTCAAAAGCAGATAAATAACAGAGAGGAAATGGCATTTATTCATTAAAATGTGAAGGATGAAAAATTTCTTCTTGCTTTCTTGGTAACGATGAATCAGGTTCAGACTTTTTCCAAGGCCAGCTCCATGTCACAGCACCAAGGCAGCAAATTCAAGCCCTGAAAGCTTTGAAAGAATTCCCTTCTACAGCTCCTTTGGCCGAGCTGCATTTTATTATGGATCTGATTCATCACTTGCTAAATAAAAATTAAAAAAAAAACAAAAAAACCCACACAAAAAAAAAAAAAACAAAAAACCCCCAAACACTCCAAACAGTTAAAAAAGATTTAGCTGATTTTCCTTTTCAAAGTAACTGTGGGACACAATCTCTCTGTCCTCCTGATGGCAGAGCCCATCACTAGGAGGTAAGTGCCTGTGCACTGCTCAGGGTGAGATTCTGGGGTGCTCAGCTCTGCTCTCTGGCCTGGTGCTGCATCCGTATCTCCTTTTCAAAACAGGTGCACTGTGACTGCAGAATCACCTTCTACAAACCCAAATTCCTTCTTTTGCAGTAATGTCTTTTTCTGCATTTGAAGCCATGCAATAATGAGTTTTCTTAACCAGGTATGCTACAATCACAACCGCTTTCACTGTGAAGTCAAAAAAAAGGACATGGACCCATATCCAACACTCACTAGCACAGTCGGTTTTGAGGTCTGTTACTTTCTTCTGCCTCACAATGACCCACATAAATGATACAATCTACTGATCCAATCCAGTATAACCTTTTCCCCCAGTTTTTCCAGTGCTGCAAGCTGATGTAGAAAGGCAGTAAGGATTAGCATAGTCCTGCTCAGGAGATTTGGTTTCTTTGCCTGGCTCTGCTGTGCCCTGGGTGCCTCTGCTTTCACAACACCATCAGCATGTCTGACTACATCTCCAACTGCGGGTTCCCCAAGCCAGGGACACTCTTCTTCTTACTCATGTACTGCCTTGCACAGCACAGACTTGCCTTCAGCTGGAAGAAGACAGTGCAGAAAGTGTACAGTACCAGCAGCAGCAGCCCAGGAGTCTGCCAGAATGCAAATCAATAATCTGAATTCTCACAGCTGTAAAGCCAAGCAGTTTTCCTCAGGCATTTGCCTCTTATTTCCTATCTGGAAGGCACTGGGCAGGTTTTCAGTCTGAAATTCTTATTCAGACTGGGTTTTGAGGAGGCTGAGATGCATATGGCTGGTATCAATACCCAGGAAGGCAGAGAAACGTATGAGATAAAACCTCTGACCCTCGTGCAAAGCTAAACTGCAGTACATGTGGGTACAAAAAAGCACAGTTGCTTTAAAATCCCTCTCCGCAGCCTTGTTTGTTCGTAGGCATCATCCCTACTGCCACATGAGGTTTGCTGCGGATAATGACTGGACTTGCTGTCCCAGATATTTACCATTTTCCCAGCTCTGCTGTGAGCATCTAAGAGAGTATGGGCCACCAGAGAGTCTTCTACATTCCAACAGCCCTCTCTGACCCACTTATCTCCAATTAACGCCGGCTAAGCTCCAAAGCTGCCACTTTAGAAAAGAAACCAGACTCCACTTCCCACAAAGCCGACAAATTAAACTCTTAAACAAACAAAATGTAGTTTGTCGTTGTTGGACGAAAAGAAGAAAAAAAGCAGAAAAAAAAAAATAACCTGATGGAAGAAAGGCACCGAGAGCTCACATACCTGCAGTGCACAACGATGGGTCCTGCCTCTGGGGGGTTGAGGAACTTTACTTGCCGAACAAAGCCCAGGAGGCCCGTGGCATAGCAAGGAACCCCGTGGTCTGGCCAGCTGGTGAAGTGGAACTGCCGAATCTCTCGGATCTCATGGTAGCCTTTCTGAGGAGACAGCACAGCCTCTATTTTTCTGCCACCAGACTGCGGTAAACGCATTTTGCCCACTGCTCCCTACTCTCATACAGAAGGCTGAACAACTTAGCTCTAATCGTGTGCAGGAATATGTCCTATACTACTTTTCACTCCAAGAGATTTCAAGGTGAAGGATCAAGATGCACTCCAATTACAAACGAAGTGGCAAAGTACAGCTGAGGACTGTGGAGGTGAATGCCAGCACCTGATTCAAACCTGTAGTCTCAGTGTTCATAACCAGCTCACTGGGAACATTACAGGATGACTTCTGCCCCAGCGTACCAGGGCTGCACTTCGCCCATCTCGCCTGTGGTGATACCTCCATAAACCACCACTCTCAAATCCTTTTTCAGACACTGAAGCAAAAGCCTGGGGAATGAACAGCTAAATACAGAGGCCCCAGGAAACTGTAGATTTTCTGTTGCCTCCTGCCAAAAAATATCAAGTTTGAGATTAAAGCTGGTGCTGAAAAGGATAGAAAGTGGTACCTAGATCCACCACTTGCCCTACTGGTGAGACAATTATGCTTGTGCATGAAAACTGGCTGTAACTGTATTTGTTTTGTCAAGGGTAACACAGAAATATCAGTTAGCTGTGACCTTTTACTATATAGGAAATGTATGTGGAGCTCACTAATCTGTCAGATTTTGGCATTAGCATTTCCTGTCAGGTTTTTCAGTGATTCAATGGAACGTGGACCTTATGAGCTAGAAAACCTGAACAATATTCCCAGTGTGGCTTAGTAGGTATTTTGGAAAAGCTTTAAAACCACTTACTGAGTGTTTGGAGAGTAATTTGGACAGACCTGGAATACTCTGACATTTAGATATTCAATTTCTAATTGTATATAACATAAATCTTCCAAATCCTGCCAATTTGGGGACAATTTTAATAGTTGAGCTTTTATTACTTTATTTCTCTTGAAAAAGAAACCTCTCTGGTATCCAATTTAGCTGATACCTTTTCTTCACCTACAGTTTTCTGCTGTAAATTGGGATAGCCAACTACCTGCTGGCTTTTGGATTTATTTAAGCTTCAGGCACTGTGGATTTTACCTTTGTTGTTACATCAAGACGTTTAAGTAAAATGAGAATACCTGTCAAAAATTTAGATTCCAGAAGTGAAAACATGCCATACAGCTACTGTTCCCATCTCCATACCTCTGGATGTTCCACCCAGAGTTCACATTTCAGATCACAAACTGAGTGTGACATCAAAAGATCAGCTGACTGAAGATTTCCTTACCTTTTGTACAGTAAATGTGCGTATGACATACTCTGCCAGTGGTTCTGTCTCAATTAATGTGACTTTAATATCCCCATAGACCTCTGTGTCATCTGGCCAGTACCGAACACATTTCACCTGGTGGGAAGGGAAAGAAAATATTGAGAGGAACTAGCTCCAAGTGAGGTAGAGCTGATCCACATTTTACCCCACTCTCAAGACGATATGAGCTAAGGCTCATGAAAACAATTACCTCATCTTGTGAGCGCATAGCACGTTTACAAGCCACGTGCAAAACTAACGGTAGAAATAAATGCCAGAGCAGCTTATACAGGTTAACAAAGACTATAATGTTACTAAATGCTCCAGCATGAAGAGGTGGAACAGCACCTAAAATCTCAACCAAACAGCTACTGCAAAGCAGGTTATAAATTGCACTTCAAGTCATAGAAAGAGGCTGCGATTATATGATCCGTTTAGGATTTGGAATTTTTTCGTCGGGTTTTTTGTTTGTTTGTTTTTTACACAGAGGAGTTTATTTCAAACTGAAGTGTCAGTAGAAGGTAGAATAGAATAAATAACAATAAATGAACAGAACCAAGCAGCATTCAAACATGAGATCTAAAGGAAATCAAACACAAAGCAGTTGAATTACTAGCAGTTGTGAATAAGATATTGCTTAAACATTTCTTTTAGTACAAAGGGAATGGAAGGTGACAAACAGAAGGAGAACATTTTTGAAGTGCTGGTTTCTGGCTGAGAATCTCTCTAAACCAAAGACTACCAGGAGTGGGAAGAACGTGCCAGGGGAAGCACATCCCAAATGTGCTTCCTTCTTATTCTCCGAAGCTGCTCTGTTCCTCTGAGTCATTCACATTTGCTCCCACTGTGAGCTTTAGCAGTAGCCCTGTGCTAACGCAGAGACTCCTGGTTAGCTGAGTCCAAGAGAGCAAAGCTGTGTATGATGAAGAGCCCAGTGCCCCTAGGTGGCCCCAGGATCCAGCTGTGCATGGGCTGACATCACAACAGAACGGTGATATTCTGAAATGACCAGCAACTCTCAGCTTTGAAATATCATTTAAAAATCTCTTTTGATCAGTTCAAACACCAGTTGCACGTCTTCATGCCTCCAGATTTTTGTGGGTAGAAAATTACTCAAATTACACAGATAAAGAATAATTATTACAGAAGTACATTTTTTTCCCTCTGTACTGAAAAAGGAGACAGCTCCTCAGCTAGCATAAATTTGTATAACTCTGCTAAAGCAAGACTTACAGCAGGAACAAGATCCTTATTAATCTGGAAGGGAAGCAGCTAAGTATCACAAAAATCTAGCATTTTATAGGAAAAAATTCCTGAGTGGTTTAATTCCTTTCTTCGCTACAGTAAGCAAAAAGAATTTCACTTGCTGAGCATTGTGCAGCATCAACACCAGCGCTACACCCAGCAATGCTTTGTTTTTCTGTGATAGGAAAATGGTCCCCTTACCCTGCCCACTTCCACCAAGTTGGTGACCATGACAACGCTTGCAGAGTTTTCTTGCCAAATCATTCTCCAGAAATCCTTCACTGTCTCTTGCATCGGCCCTGGGGCATGAGAAAAGACAAAAAGACATCTTCAGAGAGTACATCTAATGCCAACAACCCATTCCAGTTGTTCCCTTGCCATTGTGCTGTTCTCACAGGATCCTACTCTCCCTTTCAGTGCCTCTTTCTGTGACTCAGGGCTATAGACACTGAACAGCCTGGAGCTCTCTGACGGATCAGACACCTCACCTTTCTTGCAGTAAGTATCTGGGATTCCAGCATGCCAGAAACAGAGGTGATTGCTGTGTTGTAAACAGCTGAGATGACAGTTCCAGTAGGAAATAATGTATAAGCAAAGGGATGGGGATGAACCCCACAGTCACTCTGCAATTAAGGCAGTATTGAGATTTGTACCAGATGCAACAGTACAATTCCTAATAGTTTATTAATTATGAAGGAGAAAGCATTCAGAAATTAGTCCTTTTTTGAGAGTTCCTACAAGGAAAATCATTGGGCTCCAACAGCCAAACAGCTAGCATCCACAAAAGATAATTTATTAGACTAGAGCTTCTTCTCTTATTCCCCCTTTCTCTTCTAGCCTGTAAATGAAAACCTTCAGCCACTCTGCCCAAACTGCAGCCTCCATGTTCTTTGCCATGATGCATTCTCTATGCCCTTATAAACCCATACACCAATTTTATTCTATTATGTTCTTTATTCCTTCAATAGAGACAAACATGAAAAAATCATGAAGTGGAACTTAAGAACAGAGTCATTTATGTGAATATCACATTTCCAAAGGAGGAAGGAATGCACTGAAATGAGAATGAATAATTGTAGGGAAAGTGGTTATGGCCAAAGAGTTTGCCTGGTGATGTAGGAAAACAGCAATCCAGTGCAAAGAACCACAGTTAGGAGGCTCATCATCTAACATGCTCAGCGTTCAATTGTGTCGCTGAGGTTTTTGCTTCTTTCTAAAGGCAGAGCAAACTAAGTTACAGAAGGTGGTGTTCAAATGCAATTTGCTACCAGTTCCCACTAACAAAAATTCATCGGTCACAGGCATATTCACACGACCTTCCCACAGCAATTTCACACCAGCAGGTAAACTCAAGCTCCATGAAGCCCCTTTTAGTTATAACCTTGTATTTCATGCACAAAGGGCACATTATAGATTGTTCTGTCATCTCTATGCCTACTCTTATAATTTAGATTTTTTTGTTTGAGTGCCTTTAGTAGCTTGGAACATCTCATCTCCTTGCCTTTTGCTCCCCTAAACCAAGTTTTCAGACATTCCCAACACAGAAGATGTCACCCTATAAATAACTCTTGTAGCAATCTAGAACAGCAGAGATTTTACAAATATTTAGACATACAAGAATGAACTTGCCTTGAGTTGCAATGTAATGACGAGGCCGGTGGTACCCCTGGAAAAAAAGACAAATATGTGATGGCCGGAGGTCACAGTTAAACAAAGCACAGCAACATGCATTTTCACCTTCCTGGCAGCAAGAACTGCTCTGCACCAACGCTGGTTATTGAGTGCCTGAAGATAAGCAACAAGGTTGCCCTGTTAGATTTTAAGTGATGGTATCTCACTCTGGTCAAGTAATTTAATTAAAAACCTCACAGTGTCAGGATTTCATGACAGCAAAGAGAAAACAGGAATGGAACAGTTTCCACTACTCATTCCAAGAAACAGAAGTGTCATGCCTAACCCACAGGTAGCTCTGGAAACTGGAAAAAGCTGAATCTTTGTGCTTGAAAAACAACAAAGGTGTGAGTTTTTCCCTGCATGATAACACTAAATGCCAGTGGTATGTGACTTTAGTAAGTGCATGTTTCAGTTTCTTCCATTAGAGATACTCTTATGAACAGTGCCATACTCCTAAGCATGAGGAGACACATACAAGAAGTGCACGTCACTTAGCGTTCTGTTTGTGCAAGGAAGGCAGCTTTTTAAAAGTTATTTTACAATGCTTAAAAAAAATGTCAAGCCACTCACACCTTCTGCACTGTGACTCTGTATGCAGTCAGTAAGAATCAGATATCTGCTAATGTTATTGTGAGGGGCTGATATTGATTTCCACATACATCACGCATTTACCCCACATTCCACTTGTGTTTGTGGAGCTGTCAAACATAGGAAATCTCCATCTGTCTAGACTGGTCAGAAAGAAGAGACTGGAGACTGAGAACCTTCTCCCTGTCACAACATGATGTCTGTATAACATTCATCTGTCATTCACATCAGACCAGCAGTCTGTCCCTACGTAACATGCACCACAAAGTGGTGAGCAGACTTGTCAGCAGCAGTGTTTGTCACATTGGGAACGTCCATGAGCCTTACATCTATGTAATTGGCGTTGATGTAGTCAGAGTGAGGGTCCCCATCCAGCAGCTGCAATCTCACTCTTGAATGATCATCTGAAAGAAGGAAAGAGAAAAGTGACAGTAACGATAAAGAGGACGTTGTCAGTGCTTTATTTTATCTGCCAATTCCTGCAAGTGAGTAATTGAATACTTATGATAATAATAATAAAAAAAAAAAAATACTGAAAGAATATCAGAGCTGTTCTAGTTCCTATACACCCTTTTTTTTGTACGTAAGATCTTTAGGTTAATGCTTGTTCATACTCAGTGCTCATTAAGTTCACTGCCATCACTATAATTTGTTACAGAGCTTTCGCAAATACCAAAGACACTGCTTGGTCTGGGGGTCTTTCAGGAGGTATCTCCATTCCAAAAGCCATCTCCATCCTGGGAAGTGACAGCCCCCCTGGATTTCTCAGACCCATGGAAACTGAGACAAGAGCTAACACACAATCAGGATAAAAATAAACAGGCCACAACAGAGGTATGGAAGACTAAAGGAGAAATCCTACAAATAACAAGTGATGTAATCCAAAGAACAGAAGGAAAATGCTGAAGGAAATCATAGCTCTTTTACACAACCCACAGAACCCACTGCAGCAAAATGGCAGGTTCACTGCAGCAAAAACAAAGTGCTTGTGTTTTTGAGGACGTTCAAAGTTACTTTAGATAAGGCAATGACAGATATCAATCTTTTCCTCTCCCATTATGCTCTAGAGCTCAGATACAGAAAGGAACTACCCCAGCAGGCAAATTATGTCATAATTTTCCACCAAGAGAATATTTTGATCTTCCTTTGGATCAGCTGGTGCTGAGCTCTGTCAAAGCAGATACTGAGCGAGCTGGGCGTTGATCTGATCGGGGCTGGCAGTCCCAGTGCTGGCATGTAATTAATTGCAGAGCTGTTATCTAAGGACCAGTTGCTTGGGAAAGGCAGCCGGGTTACGGAGGTCACAGCCAGACATGCTGGGCTCATTTCTAAAGGGCTTTTATAATGAAGCAGAATACAGATTCCATTAAGTTTATTTCCTCCCCGCTAGCTATGTAGACAGTAGCTCCCAGGCAGTAAAGCATTAATGGTTAGAAACACTTCTCAAAATATGAGCCTAAGCATGATTTACATTCAATTAAAAAGAATCATCACAATAAAACAAAAACGTGAGGCGGAGTTCTGCAGTAACTCAGTCAAAAAGGTTTTAGCCATGACTTAATTAAACACAGAATCAGAGGCAGATGTACCTACAGCTCCAAAAACTGAGATTTCGATGTACATTAAATATTCATTTGCTTATGTAAAACAATGATTCTATACTTCGCTCATTATTTCGGTGAGGATTTCACACCACAAACGACAGCCACACTGTTGTATTTCTCAAATGCCATATTTGCATTCAGAAATGGTTATGTTGGTGAATCCATCAAAAGCTCTGCTATACTTGCATTAATAAATACAAGCTGTAAATGCAAGAGGTATCTTTCCCAAAGTGCTGATGTTGCTCCCAGCTCTCCACAATTACCGGTGCTCAAGGCAAGCACACTAGGAGTTGCAGTAAATCATGTGGTTAGACAGACAACAAAAGAATTTATACTTAGAGCAATTCACACAGACAGACAAGAGGCTGATTAAGGTGGACATCTCGATGAAATACACCAAGTCTCCCGTAGCCAATTTCACACTTGCAATTCAAGGCAGGAAACTAAGCTAGTTAAGAACCACGCAGGAACAAAAGCAAAGCAAAGCAATCCCTAGAGCTAATGGTTCTGAGGGAAACACTTACTAATCATCCTTGTGATGCCACAGGATAGCGATGTTATGAAAGTCCTGACTTATTGCAGTAATATAACTGAAAAGTTGTGAGACCAAAAATGACCCTGATGACAGAAAAGAATCTCAAGTTGTTTTTTTTAAAGTGGGTTTTAGATGCTGTCTTCACACAGTGTGTGGCTGAAGTGCTTTGCACAGCCACTGAGGAAGAACCTGCCTCTCCTCATGTAACTCAACCAACCTCACAAATCACATTTCAGCTCTCTGAGCCAATCCTTACTTAGAAACTTAGAAAAAAAAATGGATGCCTCCTTAAGGGAACTGGCTGAGAGAGATCTGAGAAGGACTGCAGAATGATCTATGCCTTTAGGACAGCTGTGGTTAAATGACAGGTGCTCTGTAGGTAATAAAAAGAGTTTCTTTCATTCACTTGAACCAAATACAGTTATTCTTACTGGAAATAACAGGAAAGTGATTAATACTTGCGGGTGATTTGTTTATCTTAAGAGTGCAAACTGTGCAGCAGAAAAACTGCATATGTGTAATAATGATGTCTTAATGGCGTCTTTAATCATAAGTTCATAAGTTTAGGAGACCATTCTGAATAGAAGCTCATGGGTCTCGTGCTTATTTTTTTTTAACTTACAGACTTTAAATGGCTTCCAGTGACCAGAAGAAATCCCTCATTCTGCACCCTTTCCACAGGACTACACTAGCCAAAGAGACAAAGATTTGGCACACTGAAATGAACACATCACTCAACTCTTCTACACATTCAAGAGACATCACAAAATCTCCATGTGCCACAAATGCTTTACAGAAATCTCAGGGCTGCAAAAAAATGGACGTAGTTTTACAAATGTATACATGAGCTTACTTCTCCCTGTTGCCTACAGTTGGTAGGCAAGTTAGCAGAAGTCTGTGTGAAGAGTACTTTGACTGAAAATTGGTCTTCAAACAGATTTCAAAAGTGACAGGAGTTTCACTGAGAAGCATTGTGCTCCCATTTTAGCACAAAAATGTTATCATTTCATACCTCTGTCAAAATCCCCATTAGTGATCATTTGAAATATCATTGCAATTTTTCCACATATCATTTTGACACCAGTGCTGGATTAATCTCATGCAACTTTCGCCATCTAAATATTATGCAGCTAGTCTAAATTGGTTGTCAAGGCACTCCACTGAGTTGATGGAGAAATGCAGACATCTTTGGAAATAAATCAACATAGTTCTGGTAAGAAAGGATGATTTGACCTCTCAAGGCACACTGTCCTCTAATCAGCAGCACTAGACACCTTTAGAACAGGACAACAGTGAGGTGTTCCAGCTGGGAGCTCTCTTAATCTTTCTTTGATATCTGTCAGTTCCACCACACAATTCTGATTAATTTGCTGTCTTAGAGTCCAAAAGCATATAGCAGTCAGAGCAGAAAGAAAATAAAGCAAGTCTCAATTCTGCCTTTTGTCACCAACTCAATAGGTTTTAATGGTCCACCACAGGATGTTAATACAATGGCCTAAGTGAGAAGATGGTAAAGCTCCATTGCAGCTGGGAGAATCATCCGAAGCAGTGCTGGTCAAAGCGTCCCTGAAAGTGCTAAGCACCTCCTGTGAAAACATGTTCAAAAATGGGGAAAAAAAGAAGGAAAAAAGATGGCGCTCTCCTGTAAATTAAAGCAAAGCACAATCTTTTGTCTCTGTTTTCTCAGCTCTTGCCTGAGAGTTTTACTCCAAATCTGGATAATATGTGGAGAAATAGAATAGAAGCAAAGGTCTCACACAGCTTTGTGATGTTTTCTCTTCTATGGAATGAGATCAGCTCAACTCACAAGTGCTACGTCTCTCCCTTAACCATCGCTCGCTGATGCACTTCCAAAGCATCAATATCTAGACACTTAATCAAACATAAATCATTTCCATACATAAATGCATCCACTACCTACCTCTGCCTCTTAAGCTGGTCCACAAAGACTGGTTTGCAGATGTAAGAACAGCATCAGATACTGGGGCTGGCAATAAAATTTAGGTTTTCACATAGAGTCACAGTGTTAATGAAGTACTGGGAAAGAGATGACCGGAGTAAAAAGGTCCTGCGAGTGTCCTATTACATGGGAGGCAGCAAAGACAAGATCCAACCTGCTGTGAATCCCTGAGCAACACTAGTTGTTGCAAGAGCTGGTAACCTCACATTTTAACAAAAGTCTCCTAAACAGTTAGAAAAGTTAGTTACAACCTGGCTTTTCAATTCTCTCCCCAAAAAGCATGCAATACGTTGTTCCAGGATTGATGAAATTGCAACTGTGATTAAACAAAAAATGTTAATTGCCATCTGTAGCGTTCTACCAAATGCACTGGTAAGAGCAATCAGTGCATACTCCGGGTTTTACCAGCAATTGTAGGTTTAACACAACAAATCAGCTAAGGATGTAATCGTTTTCCGCCTCCTCTCCTCTGCTCAGGATTTTGCACAGTTTGTACCCACAGAGCACAATTCATTTTCATGATCTGCCTGGAGGGAACTGCTCTCCTGCTATTTTCAGTTCTGCTGTCAATTCTCCATTCTGGATCCCGCCATTGCCTTTACTCAGGACAGCTGCCCAACATCACCCATTGGTAGGTTCTGGTTCAAGACTTAGCCAAAGACATCACTGATAACTGCCCACCATTTTGACAAAATGTCTAACAAATGCTATGCCCCTTCCTTAGGCAACCTCTCTTCCTTCTTCCAGGCATCTTCAAAGTGAAGCAAATATTTCAATCCATTTTACTTCATCACTCTTCTTGGCATGTTACTAAACCTAGAAATTATTCTCTCTTTCTGAACGTCTTTATGTCATACATACTTGAAGTGAAGAAAATCCATCTGGTCTTGTTGTTTACCTTCAAATCGTCAGCATCCCTCTTCTCTTTCACTATTTTTGTCCTTCCTAACTATGCCTTTCCATTGCCTCAACAACCTTCTGATTTTTTCTCCCACATGCCTCAAATTTGAGCTTTAAACAGTGACTCTCGCACAGTCTTGCCTTCTTTCACCTCCACCTTGACATTAGGTCAACTGCTTCTTCAAAATCCTCCAAAGAAACATTCTCTTTCATGTTAGCTTCCTTATAGCACACTATGGCACTTCCACCTTCAAAAACCAATGTTCAGTTGCTATAGCTGGATGATTCATTTCTCAGACTAATTTGATCTAAGCTAATTGTCTAGACAGGCAAATTGAACCTCTGTCTGAAAGTATCTTTCTTTGCCACTAGCAACACAGGAAGCATACAGCAAGGCAGAGCTTTTAGACAGCTGAAGATAAGGGAGATGATTCCCACACTAACTACAATGCTCCAATAGTACCACTTCTATTTTCCACATGGAGAAACAAAGACTGATGGATCTGGTGTCCAGCTCACGATCAATGCAGAAAGACAGGAGCAAATGCAGGATTAGATTACAGCTCAGAAACCTTTCATTTTAATTTCCAGACTTCTTCACCTTTACAATGAGGTTCCTTAGCCGTTCTGTCCCATTCCCCCAAAACTGTTACATGAATCACTTCTTTTAAGTCTTTAAAAGAAAGAGAGGAAAGTTAACTTGTGTGAGAGACACCTCATTGTGACCAAGATTTTTTCCACTTTGTTAAAATCTGCTTGTCCTACAGAAAGTATATATTTAACCTGAGAAGAAATACACCACTAAACATATAATTCCATGCAACCTAATTTTGCTGTTACAGTGTTCCATACATTTATTCAGTCTCATAAATGTATGGCACATCTATTTACATTCTGCTTGTTCTGATCGTCTCAGGCCTGGCTTCTCCAATTTGATACTGCTTAGCAACCCTTAAAAAGGATGATTTATTGTACCTCTCCTCATTCCTCCCAGACATTGTAAGGAATAATGAAACACTGGGGAAAGCTGCCTGGAGAGCTTTCGGAAAGCTTTGCTTTGGAGATCTTTAGAAAAAAAAAATCACTAAGATCTAACAAAAAATGACAGAAGTAGAACTAGTCCTTAGATGGAAACAAAATAGATCTAAGTGGTTTTATGGAGTCCTCCCCTGCCCTGCAGTTTGCAATATATTAATATCTCTATAACACCAACTATAATTTATTATAGAATTAAACACAACTCTGAACTTCTAGTGTATTCTCAACTTCCTTTCTATGATCAGCAGAAGCTAAGCTTGTCCTAGTCATCAAAACAGCTCTGTGTAGACAAGGAGCAGCTGCTGCACTGGTTACTGACCACTGTTCCACATCTCCTTTTGCAATTCTGCTTGTGGAACTGAAAGATCTGAGTTACATAACAAAAAAAAAAGAATGGAAAATGGGCAAAATCACCTACTGTGAAAATCTGAAAAGATGACTTTGTCCTTGATTTGAATAAAAGATAAATTTAAAAACCATTAAAAAGACCTAAGAAAAAAATATAAACAAAAAAAAAAAATGCTAGAATTAAGTATAGCATGTAACAATCAGACTGAATTACTGCACGCTCAGCACTGTAAACCAGTTTGAAGTGAGGTTTTCAAGCACACCCCGTTTCCATAAGACGCTTCTGAAATCATACAGAAAGCTCAGTGTAATATGACTTAACACCTACAGGAGATTATGTTTCCATATCTATTCTTATTGCGATTTTCATCTTCCTTGGCTGTATCCCAGGATGCCGTCTGCCCCTCAGGTAATGCCTGCAAAAAAAACAACAGTGGAGGGTTTATAAAAATCTGGACAGTGCCTGCAGGTGGGTTACGATAGCAAAAGAGGGCAAAAATAACAATACTGCATAATTCAGTAGTCAACCATGCAAATGACTGTTCTGGAAAGGGCACATTTACTAACAAAGAAAACAGAGCTTGGTGCAGACCATTTGCATCCCTTGGCTTCTGTTAGCTGCTAACGCAGATCTAAAGGGATGAGGAGACTTGGTTTCTGGCTGCACAGTCACAGGTTAAGCTCATTTCTCCTGCAGAACAGGGAGATTTCACATATATACATTAAACTATAAGAAAGCATCCAGAGAAAGGCTATAGAGGGGAAGGGTGTGAGGGCTTCAGTGTGTGAGAGGGGTGGCTGAGATCGCTGTGTTTGCTGGGCGCGGAGCAGAGCAGGCTGAGGGGAGGCCTCATGGCAGCTGCAGCTCCTCACAGGGAGCCAAGGGCAGCGCTCTCAGCCATAGGGTTTGGGTGGTGCTGTGTGGAGCCAGGGGTGGGACTCGATGATCCCTGCGAGCAGGGATCCAAGAGAGGACAGTCTGCGATTCTGTGCACAGCTAAGGAAGCCCAGATGGTGGAAACAAAGGGCTCAGGCTTTGAGCTGAGCACATACAGTGGTTTCAGCTATTTCTATATTGGTGATGGGGTGATGTAATACAAATCAGTCGCTGATTTTCTCTAAGGAAAAACAAAAAGCTCAGAGTTTTAGATCATGTCTATAGAAAAGAGGCAGAAAAAGGTAAAACATACAAACTATGAAAATAAATGGTCAACTTCCCCAGATTTACCCTTTTGATGGAGGCAAGGAAACACAGAGGGTGCTGACACACTGTAACAGGTTGCCCAAGGAGGCTGTGGATGCCCCATCCCCAAAGGCACTCAAGGCCAGGCTGGATGTGGCTCTGGGCAGCCTGGTCTGCTGGTTGGTGACCCTGCACATAGCAGGGGGCTGGAACTGGATGAGCATTGTGCTCCTTTTCAACCCAGGCCATTCTGCGATTCCCTGAAACCAGCAGCAGACAGCGCTGCTTTGCCATATAGCTTGAACATAAGCAAATGAGCTACTTTCCCTTCAACACATGTCCAGTGAGAATTTTAAAGTCATAAAGGCAGAGCCAGGAAAGTGGCAGCTGTGATGGTGTCTGGCTGGAGGTCGGCCCTGCTTTCCTTGGGAGATGGGCTGAGCTGTCCATGAGGGATGGTCTCTCCAGGGACAGAAAGCCACAACCTGCACACAGCTGGTGCAGCTGGAGCCAGCCCAGCCTTGACTTGTGCTGCATGCAAAGCTGAGGAGAAAAACAGCTTTGGCTGTGTTTTCTTGGCCTTCTCCAAGATCTGTGCCCTGACGTGAGCCTGTATTACTAAAATCAACCACAACATTACAAACTGTACTATTCATAATCCCAAGGGAATTACGGAGTTTTTACACTGCACTCATAGGGGAATCATATCTGCCTTGGCTAGCAGCAGGTAGTTTGACAACTGGAAAATGAATTTACATTCATCTTCACAAGCCATCCAGGTCTATTACAGTTCCTGAATGCAATAGCAGAGAGACACAATTATTAGGATCTACAACACAGGCATTACAAATAAATTTAATAAGAGCAACCCTCTTGCAGACCAAATCGTTGTGAATTTCCCCCCGAGGGGTTCCAGGACAGAAAATGTCAGGCACTGCAGCACTACCATAAGCCTGCTGACAAAACACAGGGACAGCAAGTTCCTATTCAAAAGCCCAGGAGAAAGAGTAATAAACTCTGTAATTGGCAAGGGCTTTGATCACACATATATTTCCTTTACAGACAGCTGTTTCCAAACAGAAGCTCATCTCCTGAGTACAAAAAAAACAAACCCACAAGAATACCAAACCCACATTCAACAACAAAAAAATCCCTGAGTAAAAGGGAAGAGATAAGGACAGTTCATTTTTGTCTTTAAAGATTAAGGAAAAGGTGCCTTATTTTTCCACTAATATCAAATTACAGCAGACAGATCAGAGAATGGCAACAGTCATTAGACATCTAATCACAGCCACGTGAAAAGGAAAATAAATTCTTCCTCATCACTTCACCAGGAGGAGGCTATCTTGGTCAGAGAATACACTTTCAGTTCCAAAAAAACTCTTTCCAAAGTAACACCATCCTTTCAGGTGATTTGTTGAAATTCTCCATTTAAATTCCTGTTTCCCAATTTGCCTCACACAGCCTCCACAGATTGAAGAACTCCAAAGATTGAATTCACCTGACTCAAAATCAAAGAAATCGCCACTTTTCATGAAACTTTCCATCTCTGGAGAGACAAAGGGCAGTTCTGCTTGGTGAGGAACACAAGCCATACCTCTTCTTCTATACAAGCAGCTGTACAAACTAGATTAATTGCACATACACAGGTGGTGCAGCACTGACACTTCTGCCATGAGATCACTGACAATGTAGCACTGAGCATCAAAACTGCGTTAGAGATACAAAAGCAAAAACACCAATTATGATCCACTTGTATCCAGAAAAAAAGCTTCATTCCTAATGGGTTTTGTGCAGTGAATTGCACAGCATATTTCATAAATATGCACTCAAAAGGAACACTTCTGTTTCTCTCCGTAGTATGAAAGAGGGCAGACCAAGATGGATCTCCTGGGTATCATTTGACCCACATGTGGTATTTCTATAGGAAACACTCTGGATTCTTTGTTCGATTTATTAACTATAAAATGCTGGTGTTCAAAAGTCTGGGCTTAATTTTTAAGCCTTCCTTTCTTGTCTTCTTTTAGAGAAGAGTAGTGAAATGCATACTGACATACCTTCTCTGCAGTGGAATTCATAATGATGCTTTTTAAACTAAATTGATCTAATTTTTATCCGAAATTACAGGGCCAGATCTCTAAAAGTCAGCTTCATCTCAATCAAAATTTCCAAGCACCAAAACTTGGATACATAACCAAAGAGCTCACATTCAGCCGAGGCTTAGAGCAAGTCAATATAAATCTCCAATGGAGGCATTTAATTAGTTTGCAGTTTGGTTTTCATTTAGAAGCATGAAAACCTGAATCATTCCTCTGCACTGATGTATCCCAAAGCTGCAGCTTTGTTGCTGAGTGCAATGCTATCAGTTAAAAGCCTCACTGCCCATCCCACAGCCTGCCATGTAGTCCTGAATCCCTGCAGCTGCTGTCTCAGCAGAGGTGGCAAAGCTCTTCCCACAACTCTGCTGTGACCCAGGGTTAAAACTGCTTTGGCTGAAAACAAACAAGTAGGAGAAAAAAAAACACCTCACAACAACAAACCAGCAATGTAAAAGAAATAATTCAGCCAGTTCAGCCCCCCACACGGTACACAGCAAGGCCAAAGAAAGTCTTAAGCCAGTGTAAACCAAGGACAGCATATCCAATGGCAATCCTGCTGACATTTCGTAGTGCTGTGTCACAGGCTGAATGGCAGGGTCTGGTCTTTTGAGCAGATAGAGGCATTGTGGGCAGCCAGAAATGAATGGGTTAAAATCCTGAGGTGATTTTTAAGTCATTAAGACTCCTCAGGAAGGAGCCACAGAATCCAAAGTAAGCAAGCAGTCTTGGTAATGCATGAGAGAAACATGCTTCAGTGACACCCTAAATCATATTTGAAATTTGGATACTCAAGCTTATTATCTCTGCAGACAGTAATTGGAGCTTGCAGTACAGTTAGGGACCAGCGTAGCAGCTCACAACAAATCAGGGCTGATATGCTCTGAGAAAGGAACAGGTGGCAGTTAAACAAGTCCCGTTTAAATGTTTATGGCCGTGCCTAATCCCACACAGTGCCATCTACATCCAGTGTCAGTGACGGATTGTTCTCTCGTGGCTCACACGTTTTCCTGCCAACCACAAGGAGCAGACACTTCGGCCTGAGGTGCAGCTGGCAGAAGGAAATAATGCACACACTGCAAGTGCTGACAGGTTCCTACATTCACACTCAGTTACCAGCCAATTCACACGAGCACTGCCACCACTTGCACCATCACATCCTGGTCGTTTTCTCAGTGTGGAGTTAGATGTAAGATGCAAGCACTTGAAAACCTTCCTTTCAAGATGTCATTGGTGAAACACGTGCCCTAGTGTTCTGCAGGTGAAGGAGTATCAAAGAAAAGCCTGAATGCAACTCCCTGATTCCTCAGCGGAAGTGGGAATGCACGTACATAAAAAACTGTCACATATGACTGATAGGTTCTGTTCAAAGTGATTGTTCATGAGAGTGCAATTATTTGGGAACATGTCACTAAACAGGCTCCCATGTATGCTATCAATCTGCAAAGTAGGTAGAAAAGAAGAAAAAATATACACACAGATGACATTGATATCAGTGTGTAAAAACAGATTTTAAGAGACAAAAATAAATTTTCAGGCCTTTTCCTTATCAGAGCTTACCAACCATTTTGCACAATGTTCTGCAAGGCAGGTTTTCCAGCCAACTTAAAACTACTCTTCCTCCTAGAAGTTACAACCCTTCAGCATCCTCCCTGCAATTTGCAGTGATGCTGTTGGCGGCTGAAAGCTGCTTGGAGCTGTGCTCTGAAAACCAAATTCCACCAACTAAAAGGATTGCCACTTAGGGCAACTGCCTCTGATTGCAGGGTAGGACAGTGCAAGCGATTTAAGAGTTTGTGGCATTCTCCAGGCCACTTCTTGTGAAGGAAGGAATTATGCAAATGTATATAATGTCATCGTCATTACATACGTATTTAGATAGCACTTTCTGGGAAAGGCAGAACTTGTGGAACTGAAAGTTGCATTGACATTTTTCATGCTAATGTGTTATTTTGATAACTACCAATGCCAGTGCCAGAAAATCACATATATGCCAGCACCTGTTTTCTTCCGAACATCAAGAACTAGAACTGAGCTGAATGTAGTTTCGGGTACTGTTCATAGAAGTGGAGACCAAGAGAGGCTAAGTAAATCTCCCAAGAGAATTACTACCCTTTTTCAATATTTAACCAAGCTCTTTGAATTCATACTTTAATTAGTGTCCTTGATTGTGGCGCATGAGTGCATGGCCCTGATTAACATACAGTTACCAGAAATATTTGTCATGACAATCTTTGATGCCATCTGACTAAAACAAGTACTCCCTGGTGACAACCAGGAAAAGATTATTCGCAATTATGGCAAACCCCAGCATCAGTGATACAAACCCTATGGACTCTCACTTGCAGGGTGGAAAAGTGAGCTGCTTTCATTAAGTAACTTACTTTTCACAGCTGTTAAGTTATTTTTAAGTAGTTTTAATGACACTATGCATATTAATTACTTATTGCCTTCCCACCAGATTACTACATTCATTATAATTATCGCTTGCTACAGCAAAGTCTCACATATGTTTGATGTTATTTCCCCATTTTCTCCTTCTCCTCTGAACGTTTAATTGTCTTCCAACCCCTCCCCAGTGCCATTGTTCTTGTCATTTGCATTACATTTCTGGTCACTCCTGCTCTGTGGCAGGGGAGTGGAGGGGATGCTTTCACACTGGCAGCTTACTGCTCACCTCTCTTTTCACGTAGAGTCGCAAGAGCAGATCATTCACACGTCCTCTGAGACAGAGGTATGAGTATACAGAAAAACTCCATTTGAACTACACGAGGTTGCTGCCTTTGCCTTTACAATTTGGCACACAGAGGTCATTAAGCTGTGATTTAATTTGATCAATTGTTACAGAGCATTTAGGTTCCAAAGTACAAAAAGCCTTCTTTTTCTTCAAGCCTAGCTTGCACTATTGTCATATAAAGCACATTAACGAGTAAGGGACTACAGGACTCCAAATCTTTCACTGAGTTCAGCAACAGTTATTATCTCTCCAGGGGAGAGAGAGCACATGGACACAATGCCATCCTCTCACAATGTAGTAAACACATTTTCTCTTGACCAGGGAGCCACCAAAGATTGCCAGTGTTGTAAATCCTAGTCTTATCAACAAAAATAAGTTGGAAGAAGGCAATGACTAAGAGAGTAAGTGAATTAAGGAAAAGGAGCTCTGCATACAGTTAACCTTCCATCGCAAGCATCACTCCTTCGAGACTGACACTTCTCCACTGATTCACGTGAGCAAAGGTTCCTCTCACCTCATATTCCTCTTTAAATCCATAGCCCTGTCCACGTTTCATCTGGGTGATGTGCTGCAGCAGGTCGGCCACTCGGATGGCTGGCTGGAACTGCCCCCGTGGGTAGGACATTTCCACTGGTTCGCAGCTCCGATACGGGTGGGTCTGGATAGTCAAGGTTGGCTGAGTCATCTCTCCATGGCTACTGTCTGTTTTAAAGACAGGGAGGCAAAACAAGCTTTCACCTATCTGTGACTGCCATTCTCATTCCTGCTTCACTTGTCTCTCCACCATCCCACTGGCTGGTGCAGGCAAGAGAAAGTAAAGAAATCAAAGAAGCACACAGTGCTGACTGCTGCCCAGAAAGACCAACTCCCATTCAACTATTTTTTGTGTCGAAGAGACAAACCCAGAAGAGGGAATGGAATGAACAGCCAATCAGGCACGAGGATATAGCACATATAGTGAAACAGCAAACTTAGTGTGAGCTCTGCATAATGATCCCACTGGGATTACATACCTTCCTTCACAAACCTGCAAAAGATACAAACAGATGAGGGAGATTTGGGGCGTACAGCATGAGATGAGTGAAAGGGGCCCAAGTTAACAGCAAACAAACCACCAGCATTTCAGATAAGCCACGCAAGATGTTAGAGGCAATTTAAAATGGTCTATAAATTCAAGCCTAAAATGTGTGTCAATTGCAATATTGTAATGTTAGGTAGAAAGAAATATAGAAACTGTCACCTTGCATGCACAGTCTTAACATTTACATACGTAAACTTAATAGATATAGACCTTTTTGAAACAAATATTTTTAAAGTATCTATCATTACAGAGTTGGAATTGTAATCTCTTATATCCTCCAGCAAAACTCCAAAGACACAGCAAAACTTCCTGTTGAGCTGACAGAAGCTTAAACAACCGTACCAGAGACTACCAAAATATTTATGCTTAACAGGAGAAACTCAGAATAAATGAACAGTTTAGGGGTTTATCTACCAGAATTGACCTGATTGAGAGTTTACCAAGTGAAACAACTGTTCTTTTTCCTATGGTTACAGATATCTAAGATCACAAACTCCCAGGCACTCTGGGTCTCTTTGGTCTCACTCTGCTCCCAGCAGGGCCACCCAGCACTGCTGCCCAGCACCACATCTCATTGACTTTTGAGGATCTCCAAGGAGGACATCCAACACCTCTCTGGTCTCCATGCCAGAGCTCCAGCACCGACACAGTACAGCAGTTCTTCCTGATGGGTTTGGGTTCCTTGGTACATACAGGCCTTAACATCCTGCATGCATTCTTTCTGGTCTTCCCCCAAAAGGGCCTGTTAGCAAACTGAAAATATACCCTTCTTTCACTGCTCAAAGAAAAAGAAAGGAAAAAGTAGAAGATTGCATACACCAGGCTCATTTCATACAGAACACAGATTGAAAAAGAGCCCAAACACTACTCCTTGTCAGCAGTAGTACAGTCATGTTTTAGGAGGGATAAAAAATAAATGAATCAAGTTGCAATTTCAGGGTGATTTCTGAGAGATAGAAATATGGCCAGAGTTACTGTAAACATTGCTATCCTTGAGAAACCACCGTGAAATTTTGTTCATAAGCAGTCAGGATCTCTGCTCTGTTCCTCATTGCAAAATTGGGCAGGAGCAGACAGATTAGGGCATTAGATTGCCTTTTCAGCAAACGACAAAACAATGACATGACAAAACTTGACAAATTATGCTCTAGCTGGTTCTGTCTTATATTGGAGGTAAGTTATCAAGACAGGCATATGCTCTGTTTTGGAGGACTACAAGGAGAAAGGAATGACTGCAGTGAATGCACTGCCACGGGGCAAATTATCCCTACAATACATGGATACAGCTGATATAGAACATTAGATATAGATAGATGAGTCTGATGGTTGAATTATCAGAAATGCTGAACATGTCCTGCTGCTTCTGAAATAAATGGCCATCACATCGATCATTCACTCTGAAGATGAGGCTACTGGATTAAAGATTTCTCGAGCCAAGATTCTCACAAACAGTCACATTCCTCGGACAGCACAAGATTTACAGACCTGTGGTTCTAGTGAAGCAACCTTCACATACAAAATGTGAATAAATTTGGGATTTAAGGAAGAGTAACATCCAAAGCATTTGTATAATCATCCCTAATGCTCCGACTAATGATAGTGTGAGAACTCCGAACAGAGGGAATTTCAAGGCTTATTAATTCCCCTAGTTGGATTCGCTTTCCCAGAGCATCTTTCCTCCCCTGTTCCCTATTAACCTCCTGTAATGGAGAGGAGAAGATTTTTATCGTGGACCATTTCCGACAGACGTACTATGCTTAATTTTCCATCATTAGGTTTAATACAAACCCAATTTCACAATTGGCTTCTCTGAAGAACCTACAAGTAATGCCACATTTTTATCAGCCCCAATTAAAAGACATTACTACATCCCTATTCGAGAGGGAGACTTAAAACTTACGTGCGATACTAGTGCTAATAGAGTCAGGGCACATACAGAGCACAGACTATTTGTAAAGCAGGGCTCTTTTTCACATTTTTAAATTCTGGTGTTTTTGGGTCTCTCCTCCCAGCAGTATCCAAGCAAGGGGTGAAACCAGTCCCCTCTCCAGAATAACTTCCTTCCAACTAGACTGGAAGTAGATGAAGCTCAGCAGCGAAGGGTCTGACTCCAGCCATTAAGTTTATGGTGACAGCTGTGCTTCTGGTCTCTTTGGTCAGACAGAAATACAAAATCTATTGATTGCAGCAGCAACTCTTGAAGCATCACCTCTCACCCAGCCAACTGCTTCTCCTAAAAAAACCCCGTGTCACACAATCTGAGTCACCCTGCCCTCAACCCTAGAGCACACAGAGGGAACACCACCTCTGCTGGATTTCTGTGACAAATACATCCCAGGTGGCCTCTGTGCACTGCCCAACAGAAAACCACAGCCTGAGACCTGCACCAGCTCGGGACAGCTGCCAGTTCTTTCCACAAGCATCTTATCTGGGACTAGGAAGAGATCAGTGGAGATTATTACAGAGATAAATTACTATGTATGAGGCAAGTTTAGCGTTCATATGTTCTGATAATAAAGCCCAATTCCAGAAACATATTGTTCCTTCCCAGTGTAATCACACCATGACTCAGAACCTAAGCATGGTTAATGAGGCGCTCAGGCAAGGCACTGTCCCTTCCCTCAAGATGTGCAGTGAGCAATCTGGAATGGAGGGTAGGAGGGGAAGCAGCAGCAAATCCAGCTCTCATTGGGACAGTCAACCAAGCAGCCTTCAAGCATTTACCTTTCTTTTGCTTTTTTGCATTGCCTTTCTGCTGGTTGCAGCAATAGAAGGGACCCGTGCCTTCTGGTGCTGCTGTTACTGGAAAAGGCAACAGAACCACCAGCCCCTCAGCCACGTGTTCTAATGGCTGTACTGATGGCAAGTCATAGAAATTTACAATAGTCCCTCCTGTCTGCCCCCATCTCACAACTACCCACCCTGTTTTCTTTGAGAGGGGATGACACTGAAGTTTTGCTGGTGTTTCTGGAGCACTTGTGCCTTTCCTGAGTTTTCAGTGAGATGAGCAAATAAATTAAAAAAAACTCTTTTGAAAGAGGCATGGAATAATTTACTGTAATATTCAGAAACTAGTAAACATATAGACTGCAAATCAGGTTTTTAGGATGATATTTCATATGTCCTTCTTATTTCTAGTCAAACATCCTCATTCTGTTGATAGGAACACAAACCAACACATTTGACTTCATGCCAAAGACAGACTAGCATCAAGAAATAATTCAAATGTGAAGATTTCAAGAGACGGTGATTCATCCTGACCCCAAAAGTTGTGCCAATGGTTAATTACCCTTGCTGTCTAAACATTTCTTAATTGCAATTTGATCTTGCTAAGCTTCAGTTTCCAGACACTGAATCTTATTATACCCCCTGTTAGATTAAAGAGCCCTCTGAGTATTTGAAATCTTGACTGATCAAATCACTTCTCCAGTTTCTCTTCGATAAGGAAAATCAACTGGGTGCTTCTGAAGTCTCATGTGGGCAGAGCGTTCAGGACCCCACTTCCTTCCTACAGACATCTCCAATTTTCTAAAGTCTTTTTTGTGCAGCCATAAACAAAACAGATATTCTGTGTGCTGCTGGAAACCCACTGTTCGTAACAGGCTCTTTTCTAATGCTAGCAGCTGCAACGGCAAAATATTTTGTCAGCTTGCTTGTTAGCCCTTGTTAGCACAACATGCTTTGTCCCCGCGCTAAGACACCAGTTGCCAATGTAGATATTTTGATTTCTGGAAGCTGGCACTTTCATTATCAGTCAAATAGTACATGGAATGCCCTGAAATTTTGTAGAAGATGTTAAATCAATGGCTCACTGGCTCACACACAACTTGCTTGACTGTGGAACTCTTCAGGCATCTCAACTTATCTGTTTGGTAATGGAACTGCAGATGATAAAATTTAGCAATGTTGACTACACTTTTAATACTCTCAAGTTCTCCCTGCATATGAAATGGCACTTCTGTGACTCTCTGCTTTACTGGAGAAGTAATCATAAACTTGTTGAAGTTAACTGTGAGGTCCTACTCTGCCAAGAGAAACAAAAAGCAGCACCATATGCTGAGAAAAGCTCACGCAGAGGCCGACGAGGTGACATCTTTCCCCATTTGGTGGGTAACCCTGAGGGCAAGATAATATTGCTCACCTGCTGCAACAATACCTTCTATTATACACTTTTGCTGCTTCCCAGACAACTGAAATAAATGGCTCCCTCCACAGAAAAAAAAAATTCTGTAGATGTCAATGATGAGGTGAAGAAGAGCTGAGAAACTGAGAGCCCCAGCCTGCAAACAGCTGTGTGCAGCCCCATGCAACCTCTGCTCTCGGGAGAGAACCTGCCCACCCGGGGCAGCTTTTGGGACGGAAACTTTAGATTCTTTTACAGAAGTTATCTTGTTCCATAAACAAAGGCTTTGTTAGTCTGCAAGACAGATACGTAGACACACACTGTAATGCTGCCTTCAGATTAGGAGACTGACTAGAAAACAAACTTACGCCTCAAGCAAGTGAAAGCAATGCTGCTCTAATGTGTGTTGAACATGCAGAGTTTATTTCAAAAGTTTTGCTTCAATATCTTTAGCAAAATATAAATAAAATTTGAGCACTGTTTGTGATGGATTTTATTACATGCATGTTCAGTGTCTCTACCAGAGTAAGTGTTGCCAATTATTTGACATCTTCCAAGGCTGACTACAGGATGGCTAATACCTCTTCTCCTTCCACTAGAGATAAATAAGGTGGCACCTGGTAAAACTGATTTGCTTTTTGAGTGCAACAAGGCTTGATTTTATGGTAAATATCTAGCTATAATGTGCTACATACAATACAATCAGTGGTATGGCAAAGCAAAGTCAAAACATCATTTCCTTAATGATATCAGCTGAGCTATAAAAGGCAAGTTCCTTAACAAAAAGCCTTCTGAGATCAGTTTTGACAGAGCAAAGCATACATTGTTCATTTCAAAGGCTATAAACAAGCCATATGGCTGGAGTAAATTATTTTCTCTATATTTAAAAAGATTTTTTAAGGATAACTTGGTAAATACTTCATAAAGTGCATTTTAATCTTAATAGGACTATGGAACACAATTATTTTTTCCATCAGCACACAGGAAAACCCTGCTATAAATGTAAGAAAGCTGCTTTGGTGATATGGGCTGAAAACTGGGACTACCGGGTTCACATGTCACTGTGCAGCTCTTCAGATGTATGGGTTTCTCCAAACCTATGTGAAAAGAGGCAGATCTGCCTGCATTACAGAGCAATTCATCAGCTGGAGAGCTACTGGCAACTTCAAACCAACACTCACAACACAAAAAGCCACTAAAGCCTGGGACAGTTTCATTATCTGTAGTCAAAAAGAAATGTAAGGGAAATTCAGCTCAAGCAACAGCCCTCAATGTCAGACACCTCTGGCGCAGGACAACATTAGCACAGTGAACTGAAGTGAAAGACTCTCCCACAACCTCTTCGAGATTGATGTGGCCACAAGCACTGAATAGACTGAGCCACTGATTTTCAAGTTTTCAATGCAACTTACAAAGTCAGACTTGCTAATGCAGCAATATCAGCAACATCAGCATCTAAGCATCTTTTCTTCAAACGTTAGGGTTGTGGATAAACTCAGAGCAGGTTGGATAGGCATGAGCAAAAGCCCACCCAAGCTACAGAGCAGTGACATTCAGAGCAAATTTCTTGTTTTTTTTTTTTTGTTTTTTTTTTTTAATGCAAGCCAGGATTTGTTGAAAACATCCCAACAGTGAGCTTCCTCTGCTTGTTCCACCCGTCTGCAAGGAACCACGAGGCACTACTGTCCTTATTTTCTGGGGGGGTAGGGATTCTCCTTATTAGGATACTCTTGCATAAGGGAATTGAGAAGATGACATGAAGGGATGCAAGAGGAAGGTGGGCTGGCTCCCCTGAAGAGCCTGCACTGATGTCATTTGCTGAATGACTTTGACTTCCATGCACGTTTTCTCCAAAAACAAGCTCTAATGTGGTACCATCTCTCACTCAGACTTTACATTAGTCATACAGCATGAACCTTACTCAAATATTAAAAGCAAGGAAACTGCCTCCTTAACTTGCTAGTATTAAATATTCTCTTTCCCAGCAAAGATGCTTGTGAAGGCCATTAAGTCTTGGAATCTACAACTCTAAGTTAGATTACAGAGCTAAAAACATGCATTACATGAAAAAAGTGTTAGTCAAGCACAAGACATGGCAGAGGCACAAAAAAATCCCCTGTATCTTAATATCAAGAAATCATGTCACAGTCAAGCCTAGGGAGTCATCTAGCATGGCAGATATAGAACATTTATTAGCAGAAGGCATAACAGATGGGAACAAATAGCAGTGAAGCACAGGTGGTGCCCAGAGACAGATATTGGTGGTGAGATGACTGACGCCCTTTTTAAGATCTTTTTCTTTCCCAGGAATTAATAAACGTCAAAAATTAAACTTATTTTGCTCATACACCATCATCCAATGTCTGGTAAATCTGTCTGAGAGGTCAGAACATCAGGCTTTCCATTTGCCTGCAACTCACAAGAGAGAAATTTCTTTGGTGCTAAGAGCTGTTTTGCAGCACCTGTGGCTGCTCAGTGCAGGTGCAATTCAAGAGTGAGCAGCGTGTGTAAATCATGTCTTAAAATGCTCTGTGCTTAACTTCTTGTGTGTAAGACCAGGATATCAATCCTTACTCAGCTCAGAGATAATGGTTAATAGATGCTAAGTTTTAAAGAGTTTTAAATATGTAGAGCTTTGGATACAGAAGCACAAGACTACTTTAATTCCCAACTCTCTTATTTATTATTCCTCTCTAATTGCGGTGTTTTGAAAGCTTTGAGAGTTCTTTTTGGCTTTTTCTTTGCCCTGTGAGAGGCACAGATTGACTCTATTACTCCTTGAGCTTCAGCATCAGAAGTATGCAGTTTGCTGTCTTGACACAGGGCACCTCCCTCAGACTTTGGTACCCATCTTCATAGATGCTGAGCACCAGTGAGAGCAAAATGCAGGTCTGGGCACTGTTTCTAAAGCACAGCCAAAAGATAAATCCACCTTCAGACCTTCCTGTTGACAACGAGTCTCTGGGAAACAAGAAGAAACCTTCTGGAAAAGACGACTCCTTCTTCATCAAAAGAGGGCTTATTCATCGCCATCAGGCACGTTGATATATAGCAGGATAAATGTATGTATTGTGGCAGTCCCTCCAAGCCTCTCTGGCTGTTAGTCTGTAAGCCAAAGCACTTAAGTGCTTGGTTGTAATTTCTTCCTGGTCTAACTACAGGCCTTCAGCGTGCCCAGAGTAATGTTTAAAGCAGACATGGTAGATTACTGTGTCTGGAACTGAACATTTACTGTAGATAATCCAAAATGACAGGTTTCATAAATACCACTGGTTAGATTCTGATCAACTACACATCATCTTTCTGATTCATAGCAGAGGAATTGCCTTCTTCAAATTCCACACGCAGGCAGCATCCTCCAGGGAGAGCCCGAAGTTGTAGGCTGTTATTACTCACTTTCAAGGGTATACCTCCAGTAAGTTTCTGAATAGCTTCTTTTTATCAGCTTACAGTTTCTGTCAATTTTGTTCTCTCTGTTAACTTACTGTGCTAACATACTTTTAAAAATCCAAAAGCTAGGAGCTGCACACGCTGCAGCACGCAACCATCTCCCTCTAAAGTGACCAGCAGCTACAGCACAGCCTCCACCTCTCAGAACCTGCCTTTTCATTACCCTGTCACGTCCATACCAGACTGCTGCAATATTTAGCATTTGACTCCCATTTCCCAAACCTACCTTTTGGTTCCCACCTACATCTGTATATTTTGAACTGTCTTTTCTCAAACAAATAAATAGAATCAATTAACAGCGATAAGAAGGCATGAGTGAAACCAAAGACTTTCCAATTAACAAAGTACATGATCACGGGATTAATTATGATTTTGAAGCCCAGCCACTTAACAGCATTCTCTAAGTTATTTGCAAGATGCAATGAGCATGTTTTCTCTCCAATGAGAAAATACCACCATACCTGTCTTACCTAACAGCGTGGTCGATGGAACTGTGTCTGATGATACTTTGAGAAGGAATTCCAGTCACCCACACGACACGGGTCATTGCAAATCAACAGAAGATCAGCAGGAAAAAAAAAGTTACAAAAAATGAAAACAAGGTTAGTTTCATCTCATACTCAGCAGATTCAGTCTATAGGTCATATCAGGAAATGCACAAAAGTAAAGAAAATTTAGAAAAGAAAAAAAAGTCTGGCACTAGTACCTGAGTAGTAGGAATTCAACAAAGATTTGCTCTGAAGGGTTTTGCTTTGGACAGAAAATGAACAAGGAGAGGGTGATGCTAGGTAGGAAAGACATAAGGAAAAGACTTTAGACATATATTAAGAGAGAGAAAGAATAGGGAGAATGTTCCTCAAAGAACACAGTAATATGGGATATATAAGGCTTATCAAAGTGAATTATATTTTTCATCTCAACATGCATATTACATTTATTACAATGTCATCATGATGGATTTTCTTTAATATAAGTACTCCAGACCCCAAATATAGTATTGCAGTTTTTGTAAATCAGTGTGTTCCTACACATATAGGACTATATTCTACACACCTCTTTTTTTTCTTTAAACCAAAGGAACATCTCAGAAAAATACTCAAAAACAACACCCAAAATACAAACTACAGAGAGTAAATGCATTATTAACAGCAAAATAAGCCTGCTAAGCACAATGTACACTAGTACCACAAAAATACACAGGCAGGGTAGCAAATTTTTTGTTAAAACCATACAAGATAAGAAGGCAATTGTTTTTCAATGCAGAACACTTAATAGCAAATCCTATAATCTTTTCCCTTGTGAGATGGGTTCTTTCAGCAGAACATACATCCCTACTTTCTCCCATCTAAAGCATTAGCTTTCTCTGGAACAAATCCACAAATAATTCCCATATTGATCAAATATTTATGGAAAGGAGCCAGGGCTCCACATCTTCACAGCAGAATCTTTCCTTGCTAGCAAATGTACGAGATTGTTTATATCCACAATAGCATACATGTACATTCTTACGATAATCCATCATTTCTGAATGTATATTCTTTAGTTATCACTCTGCATTCACTCTTAGACTTGCAGACATTTATCTCCTCCTCAAAACGTTGGGAAACAAGCTAATACGAATCTCAGTACATCAGAAAGATGACAATAGACAAACACAGGAAAAAGTATTCCATAATCCAGCAGAAGTAGATAAAAGTCAGTATACATCAAAGTATTTTCAGAAGCAAATTTTGTATCTCTAGAAAAAACACCACTAATAATTTTAAAGTTCCTCTATGGGTGAATGAAAGAAGGCACTATCCTAGGGATAGTCTTCAGAGTTACCTCCTAAGCACTTTATCATCAACTTATAATGAACTTGCTCCTCCTTGCATTCTTCTGCTACATTGTCAGGCTTTGACCATATGAAAACACATTAAGATAAAGCAATTTCTCATAGCTTAGTCTGCTGTAATGCAACTCTCATCTGGGACCTCTTCCACTTTCTCCCCTGTTAGCTAGCCTAAATAAGACCTTCTCTGTATCACACTTGGGAGGTGGCCACTTCTACAGATGTGTAAGACAAGCACTATCAAGAATACTTTGGTTGGCCAGAGTCACAGAGTAAATCCTCCGATTTCCTGAAATTTGGGAGTACAAAAGTACATTGGGGCACAGCTTTTCCAGGAATTGCCAACTATAAATTACTCAGGCATCCAAATGTAGACACATCACATCAGTGAATTTGATTAAAAATGTCTCCAACAAAGGAAATGAAACCATATTTGTGAGAAGGAAGGTGAATTCAGACTTTCAGAGAGCTTACTGTCAAAGTCAGCCAGGTGGCTGCTGTAGGAGAGATGCACACACAGTGCTGCGGCTTCATCAGAGGTACCCACCAGCACCAGTGTGTGCAAGTCACAGAGACACTTCCACACAGGACTTCACATCAAAGATTAAAACTCGGTTTCAAATTCTCTATACACAGGAGTGGCACAAGAGGCCACCTACTCATGCCAATAACAATACCACTACTAATGCAAATCTCAATTCCTTAAAGTATCCTAGAAGGCACCTTCACACTGCGCCTCTGCCAGTAATGTTAAGGCTATCCAGCTGGACTGTACCAGTGTCACTCCTTTGGATCATTTGGAAAGCAGTGTCCTCCGTGCACGATGTTGCAGCACATCATTGCTGAGATGATGTACTGCTGCTTCTCTCTTCACACAGATGGGCTACCAAATTGCACATAAATTGTTCAATAATAACCCCTTGCACACCTTTCTGGTCAGTGCACAGATACTGTGGGATAATTTTGGGTCTTCCTTGACTGCCATTCGTCACCTCGCTCCACAACAACCCTGCACTGAGTCAGTGTCTGCATGTGGCCATACTGTGCCACTCCGAGGAAAATGACACTGCTTTCCAAACACTCCTGAAAGATAAGGAGTGGTCTCAAATACTGCAAATATCAGCATTTACTTGTAGAGATTTAAGATAAATACATAATTTTTAATTTTTTTTTTTTTAAAGACTGCTTTTGAGAAAAATGTACATCTCACTTCACATGACTTTTGGGTAAAACTAGACAAACTGGAACAATGTTGGACTAGTTTGGCTTTCAGCAAACATCTATTCTGATTCCATGTTGTGGCAGAGACATGGGCTGAGTCCATAAAAACTCTGCAGTTAAAACTTTAAGTACCAGTCAGAAACTGGCCTGAATAACAAGTATCATTCTGGGATGGAAAGGGGGATAAAGAGCTTATCTTTGGGCCAGAAAATTCAAGAGCTCGTTTCTGTTCCACTTTTCAGCAAGATCTGAAGTCTCCCTGCTCCAGCATAGCATCACAGAATTACAGAATGGTTTGGGCTGGAAGGGCCTTTCCAGCCCCCCAGCCCTTCCCTGCTGTGGGCTGGCTGCCCCCCAGCTCAGGGTGCCCAGAGCCCATCCAACCAGGCCTTGGTGCCCTCTGGGGATGGGGCACCCACACTTCTCTTGCCAGCAGTGCTATGGCCTCACTGCCCTCTGAGTAAACAATTTCCTCCTGACATCTAAACTAAATTTCCCCTCTATCAGTTTAAAACCACAGCTCCCTGTCGCATCACCACACTCTGTGACAGAGTACAGCTTTCCTGCAGGGCCCCTTTAGGCACCAGAAGGCCACAATGAGGTGTCCCCAGAGCCCTCTCTTCTCCATTGTGAACACCCCCAGATCCCTCAGCCTGTCTTCATAGGAGAGCTGCTCCTCTGAGCATCTTGGCTTTCTCTAGACCTGCTCCAACATCTCCACACCCTTTTTGTACTGGGGATCCCAGGCCTGGATGCACTAGTGCAGTTGGGGCCTCACAAGCGCAGAGCAGAGGGGCACAAACCCCCCTCCACCACCCTGCTGCTCCCCCTCCCATATGTTAATGCAGTACATTTGATCCTCTGGCTGCAACTGCACACTGTTGGCCCATGTTGAGTCTCCCATCAACCAACACCCCCAAATCCTTCTCCTCAGGGCTGCTCTCAATCCATTTTCCTCCCAGCCTGTATCCAGAGGCTAGAGATGTTCCAGACATAATTACGTTTGACAACAAACACATCTATCAAGCAATCTACGCATGGCCAACGGGGCATGAATTTATGGACTGCACCATTTGCAAGAGCTGATATTAAACATTTCCAAAGACTTTCCATCTGAAGGAATGAAGCAGCAGTCGGTGAAGGAATAAGCATTTTTAACAGCAGAAGGCAGGGGTATTTCCCAGTCACTGCTACAGCTAACTCAGACTCCTCATACTCTCATAACTGAGGTCAGGAAGGAGAGGATGAGCACCTATCATGAGACATTGACGAGCACTATTTTCTGTTGTGAGGTAAAAGGAACATTTAAGACAGAATTTTACTCTTGCTTAAGAGACAGAGCTGATTTCAAAAGCTAGGATGAATAGCCCCCATAAAACTGTATTAGTTAGCAGGAAAGTTACAAAGTGATCCAATTATGTTATTCAAAAGTAAGAGCAGGCCCATATAAAAACCTTTAAGTATTAAACTCCATTAAAGTAATTTTTTTTAAATAAAGGCTTTTACTCTTTTTTTTTTTTTTTTTCCCTGACTATACGATAAGCTGCAAACCCATAAAATTCTGGCATCAGCACGTGCACATTTTTGCACAGGAGAGAACTTACCTGCAACACCTCAGCATCCTGGACTTGGCAGAAAAAAAAAATGTGGAGAAATCATGAAGGCTTACCAGTGATTATTGCTTATGGATATAAAGAGGAAAAAAAAAAAGGAAGAATCAGCCCATGACTTGAATCAGGCTGTGCTACAGAGGGAGGTGGTGATAAAATCTGCAGTGATGTCAGACAAGCAAAGGACTTACTGATTTAAAAGAACGAAAAAGAAAACCTGAAGGTATGCTTCCCTTACAAAATTAGATATAGCATTTCCTATAGTTGCTATTTCAAGCAAATGACTCAGCTGTTTTAATTAGTCTCTCAAAATATCAAGGAAAGAAATGAGGTCACTTTACAGGCTCTTCTCATTTTCTGGTTGGAAAAAAAAGCAAAACCCACAAAGTTTTAAAAATCCAGATTCCAATGAAAAGTGAAAAACTTGGTTTTCCTCATACATTTCAAACAAACTATCTTTGCTGTTTCTAGGCTGCCTGTTACAATGCTGCCCTCTGCTATCCTGTCTTTCAAAGATACGAGGCACTGACAACTCATGCTGTCTTCTTTAGGAGGCACAGCTACTCAGCACCTGAGAAAATTAGATCTTGAGTCAAGTCAATTTAATATCAGAGAGAAGTGTTCACCACTAGCCTTGATGGTCCCAAACACCTACTTATCCATCTCACAGGTATGTTACATAGAGTGACAGTAGCAATGCATGCAGATGGAATTTGACATGACCTATAGACAGAGGGAGAAGAAAAATTCACTCAGCCTGTAGCGATCAATCTGAGGTTAGAAAGAAAGATTTCAGTGATAACAAACTTTTTTCTTTCTTTTTTTCTTTCTTTTTTTTAATCATAGGCAATTCCTTGTTAGTAATTAGGGGAAAAACGCTTCATAAAGATGTTAAAAAATAACAAGAATTCTAAGTATGCATTTTGCTTTCAGAGCTGAACCTTCTTCAAACTATAGGGTAAGCATCAAAAGAAGGAGTGACATTCCCATAGTGTCTAAGTTAAAATTTATTTAATACGAAAAGGTTTACAAATCCACCATGCAGTCCACCATGCATTCAACCTGGATCTAGTGAGGCTAAGGGGTAACTTAGAGCTGCTTTGCCCAGAGTCTTCCAGCTACAGAGGTCTGAGTGGTTTACAATTGTTAACTACTATTCGTTTTACGGAAGTTGAGTGAAGAACAAACTGAGGACACAGACAAAAGAAGAAATGATGTCTTTCCATTTCTAACCATGAGATTGTTTTCTTTCATGAAAATTCCATACAGAAAACGATATTTCCATCCTAAACGTCAGCTAAGTGATTTTACTCATCAACTCACAAAGGAAAAACTGTTTCGGAAGAACAAATGAACATGTGCCTTTTTGAATGTCTGCTGCAATTATTAAAACACATTATAAATTATTTCTTGGTAGATTCAGAGTGAGAAGGAATTCTCCCCACCCAGCTGAGAGGTAAAATAGGGGCAGTATTAGAAGCATTTCAACAACTGATTTCTAGCAAGCTTTTGCAACGAACCCTCTCACTGCCACTCCCAGCTTCTCACTGTTGTGCCCAGAGGAATAGGTCCTTTCAAGAACCCAGAGCTCTCCAAAGGGGACATATCCATTGCAAGCAAGTTAAACTTACTGAATCCATTAACATCTTGGCAGCTGGAAGAGAAAGCTTCTTCATTGTGAACAGCGCTGAGTTTGGTAGAGGCCTTGTCTGAAGCGGCCACGGGACCCATCTCTCTCTGTGTGCTGGTCTGAGTCTCCTTCTGCTTCTTGGCTAGCTTCCTTTAGGGCATTTTGAAGAGGGGAGAAATCGAGGTCAGTTTTCCCTCATTAGAAACAAAACAATGAGAAAATATCTCAAAAATCACAATTATCACAATTAAGAGACATGCAGGGCACATGGAACTCCAAGAGAGAAAACCCCACAGCTTTTTAATATATTGTTATGGAGTCAAATAAATGTAGTGATGCCAGCCTGTGAGTCTGGCTGTCCCTCCCAGTAACTCATCGTGCACAAACCCACATCACCCCAGCAGTAGGAGCACTACGTCACCAAAGAAGAAGAAATAAGGAAAGCCCTTGGAGCAGGTGACATCTGCTCCGGGAAGAGCAGAGGGCACCGGGCATGGGCAGCAACGGGAAAGGCTCACTGGAGGTACATGGGATCTCCACATCCATCCCACAGGGCCACCTGCACCTGGGGCTGTCTATGGAGGCTCCAGGGAGCATTGTGACTTGAGGCTGTGCCACTGGGCAGCTGGGCAGGAGGCCCAAGCAGGGCAGAGAGGATGGCAGCCTCTGCTAGAATTTGACAAATTGCTCTGAGGATCGGCACTTAGGGAAGAATGGGGCAAGTTAAAGGCTGCAGTAATTTTAAAAATGACTGTGTCCAGATATGTCCCTTTTCTGGGAATTTGGGTCTTTGAGGAGACCTCAAAGTAGAAACACTGCCAGCTCCAAAAACAGTAACAAAGCCAAGAACTTAAGAGGCTCCTCTTTTGCAAACACAGCTAATAGTAAGGAAGTGGAGAGAAGCAGAAAAGTGAGCTGCTAAGCTTCCACTGACATTTGACTGCCCTGTGCTTCGTTCATACCAGAGAGCAAAAGTGTTTAAAAATGAATGTGTGATATTCTACAACCGGCACCTTGAAAAAATAGCACACAAATCCCCAGCGCTAGCAAGGAACTTTGCTTACACGGCTTCCGCAAATAAGAAAATAAAACAAAATAAAAGGGAGAAAAACAGATTACTGTAAGTAGGAGTTTCAGTTTTCTCTTTCCCCTCTTAAATGAAAGAAAAAAAAATCCTAACAACTAAATCATTTTGCAAAGAGGTTTTTCTTCACTGAAACGACATGCTTATGGTAAGTACTCCCCATCTTTTAAACTTCATTAGGCTCTTAAAAGGATATTGCTTGCAACAGGCTTATTTATTCACAGCGCTTGTCAGTGGCATTTACAGGCAGGTCCTGGCATACAGCTGAGCCCCAGCCCTCCTGCAGTGGGGCAGCTGGGCCAGCCACATCCATTGGCATGAAGGGCTCAAAGAGAACTGAAGCCTTCGGCTCATCTCAGTGAGGAGCGGCTATCTTAAGGCAAGCTGCTGAATCCAGACCAGGAGAGCAAAAATTTGTGGAGAAATGTCCAATGTCTGCTGGAAACTTGTGAACAAATGCATCTCTCTCATCTGCTTAGTCAGTTCAGCCTTGTGCTGCTCGTGCTTTCAATTCCAGCCCACAGCCATTCCAATTGGAGACATAATTATAGAGTGCATACTTAGATCTCACAAAATCTCCATGATATCCACTTCTGTAGATAAAGATGCAAACAGAGGAACCGGCCTTGGATGCTGAAGCAAAAAGCTGGCATTTAATGATGTTAAAAGCTTTGCTTCCAGCACACAGCGATGCTAACACAGCCAGATTTATTAACCATGGGCCTCCTTGTTTTGTGCTGTTGTCCCTGAGGTAACAACAATAGTTTGGGAGCGTATTAACCCTGCTATGCGGTTATTTTAATCCTTTAGATTTGCTAATCATACACGGCTATGTGAATTCTTTGGCAACAGGAATTAAAATTTCTCAGTGGGAAGCACTAATCCAAAATGCACAAGTCCTTAATAACAAGCACTCTGGACTGCTGGGGTGAGCCATTACACACTACCACTACTGATGTTTAAAAATAGCGAGTCAAAAAGGGTGACTTCCTTATTAAATCCAGATTAAAATATTTGTGGCCGTAATTACCCCTAAGTCCCATTGCTTGGTTTCCTTTCAGAAATGCCAACAAGCTACAAAGAGCCGGCGAGCTCCGTTTCTATCAGTAGGCAAGCAATACCACTTTCTGCACAGGGACAAAATCACCCCAAACCCAAACCCGTGAGACCCCAAAGGCCTGCTTACAAAAGCCCTATGGCAAAGCAGTTCTACCTGGTCCTGTAGAAGACAGAGAGGCCCCTAAAACATTGGCTTGAATGCCTAAAAAGAAAAGGTGAGATGAGTTTAAGGTTCTTGACCTAGGACCCGCAGGCGGCAGCCTCCTGCGCAGGCTGCTCACCAGCGGAGGCTGCTGCAAGCGCAGGGGGAGCGCGTGGGAGAAGCCACACAGAAAAGTGTTGGGCATCCGACAGCGCTACAATCGGCTTTCAGCGCGGTGTTATACGTTCCCACCTTCCTCCCTCTCTCCTCCAAGGATGTAAAAATTCTTCATCTAAATTTAGAGGGAAAAGGAAGACAGATCTCTTTTGAGGATTTCAGAGCTAAGCTTGCCAGACACATCAAGGGGCTCCTGGTTTCTAAATGTGCCTTTTCTGACTCAGTTACATGTCTGGATAGAGTGGCAGCACAGGACTAAGCCTATTTGGCCCTTGCCATCTTTATAATTCATAGAAAGGATTATAAAATCAAATGACTAGTACTTTCTAGAACGCTAGGGATGCAACTTAAACCCATGGCAAGGTAAAGGTTTATTTGCCAGCATGTCAAAATGCCTCTGGAATCGGAAAAACATTTATCTGAAAACGCTGTTTCCAAAAATAGGGCACTTGAAGAGATCTCTGTGAATCACTGACAGGCAGCATCAGTGACACGGCTCCTGTTCTCCGTACTGACCAGCTTCCCCCAAACAGCACAATGCCAGCATCCCGAGGAAACTGCTATCAGTGCATTAGTGTCAATCATGGGCCGGCTCAGGCTGCCTCCGGCGTGCAACCAGCACGGGCTGTCACCAGGCACAGAGGAGACACTTTCTGTCTCCTGCATTATGCAGTTGAAAAGGGGAAGAAATAAAGGACTGGGCAGATACTTGGAAGAAGAGTCTGATACAATCAACACGGGGTGAAGAGATGAAAATGTCAAAATGTGAATGGGGCGATATTAGTGGCGGTTTTACATTCAAGTGTAAGGAGAAAGTGCCAGGAAGAACACGAGAATCCATGGATGGGGTTTACTGGGTTGCCCTTTTCAGTTCAAGAGGATTCATAAATGAAGAGATGATGTTTATGGGCACAATACACACACAGGAGTGATGAGACAGAAAGATGCTCAAAGCAGAACAAAAAGAATGAAACCAGCTGCATAATCAGGCAGTTGAAGCTAACCCAACTAAAGCAAGGACAAGAGCTGTTAGCAGTGAACCTGAACTAAGTGCAAATTCAGAAAAAAAATACGATGGAGATTTGGTTTAGCTATTTTTGAAACTTCTGCTCATCAGAGAATATAAAATGCTGAAACGCTAAATTAAAACTGAGGGACTTCCAGTTTAACAATCCAGGAATACAAATTTAGTATCAAGTCAAAAGCATCCACTACCATGAGCACTAATCAGAAACCTCAAGGAATATTTTCAGCTCAAAGTATTCATAGGATCAGATTCCAGTTTTGCAAAGGCTTGGGTAAACTTCAAGGATTATATTTTTAAAAGCAGCTCTTACTTAAATTTTTATGTCAATTTTACATGCATGAATGTTAAATCTGTAACTGCCACTCCTAAAAAGCTCTTGTACACGTACGTTGACAGATTTAATTTTAGATGTTTCACAAGGATGGATTATATATACTATAGTGTGGATTTGCATGCACAGGTAATTTAGACATTAGGTATAGATCATGTAACTTAAACATGAAATTTCCTCCTACAGACAAAAATTGCATATTGCCCTCATTTCCAATAAGCAATTTAAGAAAGCTACAAAACACAATTCCGAGTAGATATTTGTGTGCAGCAGCCTGCTAGGAGTACACACGTTATTTAACATGAAATCTGCACAAATTAAGGCAGAGATCAACCATGCCAACACCCTACCGGGAGCACTGGTGAACCAGCTGATCTATGGAAAAGGATCTTCGCTCCCTAGATCTGTAATAGGTCATAAGCTCAACTCGAAGGAGAAGCCCCATTTCTGTGCAAAAAGAAGGTGGGGATTATAGATGGCTCTGCAGTCTGCAGGACACAGGTAATCCTTTTGCTCTGAGTGGTGATAAAGGCTCCGCTGCAGTACAGCATCCAGTTCTGCACTTGAAAAGGATGTGTACCAAAGGAACATACACCAAAACAGAACAAGGAAGGTAAATCTGGAAAACACCATCTACAAGAAAAGGCCAAAAGAAGTATGGCTCTTTCACCCAGAGCAAAGACAAAGAGCTGACACCTTCAAACATAGGAGAGGATACCACAAGGAAGTTCTTCTCCTGGTCTACAGCACTGTGAAAAAAAGTGATGGACTCAATGACAGGAAAGGCTGTTCATTTGAGACTCAGGAAAACCTGAACAGAGCAGAGGCTGCCCATCAGTCAGATGAACTGGGAGATCTCCCTAGAGGCTGCAGCTCCACAGGCTGATGGAGGTAAAGCAGTGCAGCCTTTTACAGCCTGGACGGTGGCTCCTCCTCCCCAGCCCAGCACTCCGCACTGCGATCTCCATCTCTAAATGAGCATCCCTGACCAGAGCTCAGTTGCAGGTCCTGCTCTAAGTGTAGCTCACTGGTTCTCACAGTCTCCCCAAGGGCAACCCCTACACTTACTGGCTAGCGAGGACAGCAGGGCCAGTGAAGCCAAACTCAGGGAAGGTTTATTGCTGAAGCAGAAGAGAATTCCCCAAAGAAAAGGCTGTATGATGAGCAAGGGCCCAGCTGCACCACTGCAGCTCCCAGAACAAGCACTGCCCAGCGTGAGGAAAGTGCTATAATGCAGGCACAGGGCAAAGGATGCTCTGAATGTTTTTTACTCTCATATACACAAGCTCAGCACCAGGAAACACGCAGGAATACACTCTCTAAGCTTTATTTGAGCAAATCAATCACTTTTCTGGAGTACCTTTGGTCACAGCAATATCCATTTTGGAGTAGGTAGGTGCACATAAGAGTCATGCAGTCATATTATATATTGGTCCAAACTGTCCAATATATTCTATGGCTTTGCACTCACCTAACAGATATGTTCTGAACAAGCTCTCGCATACTTTCTCAATTAACTGGCATAGCCACTGATTTATGACTGTTCTTCCAGTATCTAATGAGAAAAACAGTTTCTCCCGAACATTCTGATTTGGCAAGCTGAGCTGTGCAGGCAGATCCCACCATCACAGGAAATACATGAAATATAGGCATGTAGATATTATATATACAGAAGTATGCCCATAAATAGAGTTATTTTATTTCCTTTCAAATGTCCCACATGTGGTGGAAATAAATTCAGCACAAATTCTGTTAGTTCAGAAAAATGCAAGTATACGTTCAGCTTTACTATTGGGATGGAATCTCTTCTACGAAGAGAAGCTCCAAGCTGATAGCACTGCAATTAAAGTCTGCTTTCAATCACAATGGGAGCTGAAGGGGTTCCATGTGTGCAGCAGGGCCCTCACTACTCTTGCTGGATCGAGGGCGAAGGGAAGTAATGCTCTGGCCACTGAGCACTCTCTTCTTATAAATAACATCAGCAGGGCAGGTAACACGTATATGAATCTCTGCATTTCCAGAAACATTTTTCTGGTCTAAAAGCATTCTTGATTAAATCTCAGCCTGCAACCATTACTGAACGTAGCAGAAGGGAAAAACAACAACAGCAAACAAACCCCAACCAAACAGCAATTTGAAAAGCAAAAACAAAAACCCACAGAAGGTAAAACAGTTTTTTTTTTTTCTTTTTTTTTGTTTGTTTGTTTTTTTTTCCTGGTGAGGAAATAACAAATCCTCAAGAAGGCTCGTTGCAGGGGAAAAGACTGTGAGAAAAGAGGTGTCTGTCACTGAATGCAAAATCCCCTTTAAAGCAGCTGTAATGCCACCCATGTTTTACAGCTTCGTCTAAGCAAAGAAACAAAAACTTTCAGAGGTGGATGGGTTGTTATCTTACACAGTACATCGGATCTTACAGTCATTAAACTTGCATGCAATGTGTCAGAGCTGGCAATTCTACAGAAAACTTAGGCAACGCTCGTACTGATGTAAATACAGAGCATTTCAGAACGCTTCTCCCGAAAGGCCTGCGCCTCATCACAGTGGCAGGGCTGCAGTGGGCACATCTGGTCCAGAACTCACAGTTCTGCATCCTTCTCACCCATTACAAAACCAGGAGGACTTAACTTGCACCACTGGTACAGGAGGTTCTGCCCAAGGACCTTTCTCTGCAGCTGACTTCTAAGGAGGGGTAAAGTAAAGTACACAAAATGCTGTCATCCTGCATGACAGGTGAGGAATAGGGCTTTGCTGGCTTTGCATCTCCCACTGCAGGTGTTTCAAAGATCTTCATGGCCTTCTCTTTCAACCACAGTAATACCTGATTAATACCTGTTCCCACACATTGCAGGAAGCTTATAAATGGAGTGTTGCCATACAAAAAACCTCACAGCTAATTGGGCAGAACTCAGCCTAGAAACTACCACAGCCCTTATGGCCCATGTCTGCAAGAATCAGTTTCTCATGGTATAAATGTCAGTGCCTTTAACAGATATTCCCCATTAAGAATAAGAGTTGAGTTCGAAGATTTTGGTCCCTAAGAAGAAGAAATGTCTGTACAGCAGATGACAAAAAGTTGAAAGGAATTATCTGAAAGCAGATGAGAATTACTCCAGGAAGCACAGCTTTGAAGCCCAGAAACTGAAACCAAAAATAGAACAGTGTAGTCTGTGTGGTTGTATTTAAAGGTATGCCAATAGATCTATTTGAGAACATGTTTTTCAATACTGCTAACTCAATTCAATTTTGCTTCAGGACTAAAACATTCATACAAGGTCATAGCATAGAAACCAATTTTATTTTTAAAATCTATATGTATACATATCCCTGCTCTTATTTTCGCAACACATCAAATAAACTGAAATCAAACCTTTCTGTTCATAAGAGGCTGTAGCAATTTCTATTGGCTTTGGCTAACAATTGCTAATTGTGCAAGGACTATTTGAGCGTTACCTCTACCACTGAGACGTTCCAGCTAACAGAGGTCATGCTTGATGTGGTGCCTTAGACAGCGTAAGCACTGAGCTAAGAGCAAGCTCTCTGTTTAGGGTGCATTGGAGTTCTATGATTTCTGCATCTTGACTTCAAATCCCCATTCGGTGCTACAGGGAGTTGCTACAAACACAAAAGCTTGCCTGGTGACACCTCAGGCTCTCCTCTACTGTGATATACTGCATGGTGCACAACTGCTTTATTACACCTCTGCAGCCCATCACCACTTGCTTTTGCTACTGCTGAAGTTCACTGCAACCTCAGGCTTTGGTGACCTGCACAGTTCTGTCTCTTCACTTTTCTCAAGTCACTCTCCTGTTCCCCAAGAAGAAAAGTACTGGTATATTGATTCACAGAAGCCACTGAAAGACAGCAAAGAGACTGCTTACCAATACCCTTATTTTCTCTGTACAGAATAATCCTCAGCTGACTACTTAAAACAACTCTGTGGTGCAGCTGCAAAAATGGGTCATTTAGGGCTGAGAAGTTGACTTATGCTTTTAAATGCGTAAATCTCAAAATACAATAAAAGTAGGGAATATTTTGACCACATACTGCCTGCAGGAAGAAGATGAAATTGTATGGGTAAAACAGGGAATGCATTTTTCAGGCAATATAACAATGTAAAGCAGTGAAGATGGAACTTTCCTGATGTTCAGGGGAAATGCACTGAAGAAGAAAGGTTGTAGCAATAAATGCAACGAGTTGGCAGCATCTACCTGCTAAAACTGTCCCTGACTTTAAGTTAAGCTTTTCTTGAAATCTTTCCATTAATGGTCAAGTTCTATTTGTGGTTAACTAGCGTGGAGCCTAGAGAAAATAGAGTTATCTTCCATTTACAATTATTTAGCTGGGTAAAGGCAAGTCTCAACAGGGTGTCTTTTGGTTTCTTGCAAACATAGCAAGCCATGAAGGTTTTTCTACTCATTATTTTCTGATAGGTCATCAAGAAGCAAAATGACTCTACAGCTGAACAGGGATTCTACTCTTAAATCCTTTGCCCTGATCTTAAGATGTAACTCAAACTCCCATGGAAAATCAGTCAACTTCACTAAAATGAAGTTTAAGCACATTCATTCCACTGACTTACTGAACATCTTTCAGATGTGTCCACAGGACAAAGTCATAACATAAAGATGAGCAGTAGGAACAGGTGAAGGAAAAGGGTGGCAGGCTGGGAGGAATTAGCAAAGCAGATGTGGCCCTTTCAACTATTTTGTCTATGTCAGAGCCCTAAAAGTCGGGCAGGCTGCTGCTTGTGAGGGCAATACAGCTGCTGGTTGTGAGAGGTGGAGAGGAGACATGTTTCTCTTGGTAGTAAAAGTTGTCTTCTCCAACTCCTCCAACTCTCTGGTGACAGCAAAGGCATCCAGGCTCTGTACTTCAAGACCCCCTTCTTCAGATCACTGATCCAGTCCTCACCTCCTCCTGATCCTCAGACACATGTTATCATTGCAGAACCAGCTCAGCCCTGATTACTTTCCAGCTCCTCCATCTTTAGACAACAGATGGCCCCAGAAAGTTCTGGTGTGCGAAGCATTTTCAAGAGCCTTAACTGCCCTAATTATGCAGCATTGTCATTAGGTTGGCATAGGTGATTTAGATCTGAAAATCTGAAGTCCTTCATCATCCACTGGTCTGAACTGACACTCAGAACCTGGCAGCTCCACAGACAGGGATATTTGTGGAGGCAATCTCAAGTCCTCATTGCCAGAAACCTTACAATTTTAAAACACTTAAAGCAAGCTTGAGAAATTCCCAGCAACGACTTTGAGGTGTGAATTTCCTGGCAGTCTGGCTGAGTATGGTGGACAATTTTAAGAAGTGCAGTTCTTCTGCATTTATCCATTAACATTTAAAGAACTATAAACTATAATGGACAGATCTATGGACATTTACGTGTTTGCATAGTTACAGCTGAAACGGTGAAACAGGGAAAATATATAAATGTGAAAGAGAAAATAAAACACAATCTATTGGAAAGACATGATTGAACACAATGGCTAAAAAAAAAAAAAAAAAGTGGTAAAAGAAAAGAATACAACAAAGCACAAAATTACCACAGTGAGTGTCTCAAGAAGCATCCGCTGCTAGGTACTTACAAGTAATAGGAGTAGGAGTATGCATTTCTTCTAAATATGGACAGCCAGCCAGACGAACAAAATATCCAAATGGAGAAAAAGAAAGAAAAACACATAATTAGATTTATATGAACTCGATGCTATTTTTGGAAATACAAAGTATTTGTGCTACCACAGGTACTGAGCTACTTTCCCCAGCACTGTTGTCAGGAGCTGTATGTTCACAGGGAATGGACGCAGAGCTGGAGATAGAACACAGGTGTGTTTTCACTTCTGCTACTGACTTGCATCGCCATGAACAAATCCCTTCACCGATTTCTTCCTCAACTTGACCATGTCAGCAACATGGACGATGATACTTACCTTTGCCTGTGAAGTGCTTTGAGACTTTAGGAATGGGAAGGATTATGTAAGAGCTACCAATATGAATGACAACAAGTAGGAAAGTAGCAGTGCAAAAACATCTCAATTTCAGAATATTTAGACAATGAACAAATTGTGCAATGACAAATCAAGCTTCATCAAACTCTAAAATGCAAATAGTTCATTAACAATTCAAGCATCACTACATATTTATAGATGATCACTGGGGGGATGTATTAGCTTTCTGCGTCAGTGTGATTAAGCTTTTTCTGTTCGTTTTTCTACAAAGAACGTTTTGCTACAGCAAGACAAAATGAGTCCTGGCAATCAGTCATGACTGAAGAGGTGATGTCATCCCTTTTATAACTGGAGAAGAACTTAGAAAATGCTGCTGCACAACAGGTGTGCTAGTACAGATTAAGTACCTTGCTAGTACAGCAAGGCATGAGGCAGCATCAGAAGTGGCTATCATGGTCAAGGCAAGGAAAAACAATGCAACCCTTTACACAGCTTTAAAGCGCCATCCTTGAAGATACTACGAATACAAGGAAATACAGACAAGTAGAGATGCAGCACTCAAGTGTTCACTTTTATGGTTGTTCTGAGTAAAATTCCCTAGGTACACACAGAAACCAGATTCAGCAGGGCTGTTCTCTGCCCACGACCACTCTCTTTGCTGTGCGCTTCCTGAACGTACCACTGTTTGCACAATTGGCATTTCTTCTCTCATTAAAAAATACAACTTGCCCCATTTCCTCACATATTTACAATCTGTTGTCCCATGAAGAGATTCCCTCTGGGCAAAGACAGCCGACTACAGATGTAGGAAAGGATTACTCCAAAATGACAAGTTGTGTTTGGCGGTGGCCCTTGCTATAAACCTGACATTCAGATTCCCGATACACTCCAAGTTATCTGAATGACTGAGTCTAAATCACACCTGAGCGCACATTTATAACATAATGCCAGAGTCCCCTGAAACTCAGAAACCCTGAGTGATAGCAGTGCATCAGTTGTGGTGTATTGATTCCACTGAGCTACACTGTGAAAGTTTGAGCTCTTCTGAACCTCCAAACAAAGGGAAAGCCACCAGGATGTGGCAAACGAAAGCCCATACAGCTGAACCCCCTACATGTCCTGACATATTCCTTAATTAAACTCTTCTGCTGCACCAGGGCCAGGCTCCTTGCAGCACTACCAACTGGAATCTCCCTTGTGAACATCTTGCTGTACTTTCTGCTTTTCTCATGCCACAGCCATTGGACACGTGCGATCACTCAAGGCTCAGTCCTCATTCAAAAGCTGTGCATCCCTCAAGATGCAGAGGAAAGCTCGAAGAGATTTATTCCTTAAAGACAAGAAACAGAGGAAGGCAAAGAAAATGACAATTATATTTTGGGACTGGACGTACAATTTTGGCTTCAATCCACCAACAATATGCAACCAAAGATAAGGACTTCCTAAGGACTATGTTAAGACCAACTGTAAAAATTGATCTGAACCATGGATCACTAAAAACATGACTTGATCCTAGAAGGTACAACACAACCTGAAGATCCTGCATATCATCTGTCTTCAGTAAGAAACCAGGAGGTTCTGGGGTCCCTGAGCATTCAAATATCCCTATCCTGATTCCATCCTACAGCATGGGTACACTCTGCTCAAGACACTCTTGAACTGTATTGTATTAGTTCAAAATAACAACCTAAATCCTAATCCAGAATAAAGCACTGGAGTTTCCTAGAAGGAACCAGTAGTCCTACACTCTATACAGCCCCAAATCTCCTTTTTTGCTACCAACAGCACTTTAAAGAACTTATTTACAGTGCACCCGTGACAGGTTGTCTGATCCAATTTATTCAGTCTTATACTTAAAGGGTTCAGTAGAGGCTTTGTCTGCTCAGATGCACAAGCCTGAAAAGTCACGCTCTTTACTCCAGGGAAATGCAAGTCACGATTACAGAGGAGTTAAAGCTGTCCAGATGAAATCGGAATTGACCAGGACCTAATCCTTCTGGGGTGCAAAGTCAAAGGGTATTTCCTCCAGAAATAGGATTTGCAAATGCCTTGGTTTTCTAGTTTCAGTGCATTTTTATTAACTGGTCCTAGATTCTCTCCCCCACAAATATGTTTAACCTATATGAAGTGCAAATGAATGAACTCCTTATATTATCAGTAATATCTTGATACAACAAAAATTAGGTACTTCAAGGTATTCTATATCTAGCTGTTCACGAAAGAAAGCAATACATGCAGGCAAATGACCACCAGCTCACATGCTGCAAATTAACAAGCTAAAAGGAATTGCAATTTAAAAATGATGATATTGGAGCTGCAAAAACAAAACTGGTGTAGCCAGCAGGTCCCCAAAACCAGGAAAACGTCATTTTGGTTTTAAATGCTGTAGGACAGCCATATTTATAAGAGAACCTCACATACACAAACAAATATTTAACACAGATGATCTGTCTACTCTCTAATGCCCAACCAGTTTCCTGCTCTTAGTGCTTCCTCCCCTCCTAGCCCCTTCCAGTGCTCTGTACTGCATAGCTTCAGTCAGGAAATCATGGCTGTGTCTGTTATCAATGAACTATGAAGTCCTGCTCCACGAACAAACACCACTGTGATACTTGCCAGCTCCATTTGAAGAAAATGCCCCAAATGTATCTAATTATTTTTCTGCATTGTTGCTTTGCAAGACAACTGTCTCGTACACAGAGGCATTAGCCTCCATGAACTGAAAGGGGGATCTCTTTTGAAGTAAGGTTAATGCAAAAACCAAACTCCAGAGCTTAGGTTTCTAACATTTCTCTTTGTAAAACACAAAGAGAAGACAGTTGCTGTTCAGCTGCTTTCTCAGACAAGCTTTCAGCTGTGCTGCTCCAGAACTTCAGATTAATCTGTGGTCCAAAGCAGCCTTTCCCTTTATAAAATCTGCTCCCAATCCACAGTGGTTTACAAACAAAATGAGCCCAACAGCCTTCAGCTCATCTTTGAGGAGTGCATGTCCATGCTCAGCCCCACACCTCGGTGTGATGTGAGTGGTGCTGCCCCGGGGTCAGCAGGGCTGACACAAGCAGCAGTTCTATCAGGTGCACAGACCTGGAGAGCACGCACCTCCAGAACCTTTCCATGCACCGTGACAGCTTCTAAAAGGGAAAAGGTTTGAAAGTTGATGAGCCTGATTATTTCTTATTACAGTGCATATTCCAGTGGGTAAGTCAGCAAGCAACAGCGAGTTGGCAAAGAGATGCTGCCTGCTGACTCTGCCTGTCTGCTTTCAGCACAGGGAAGCATAAGGCTCATAAGGGTATTTTCACCCTTCTTACTGAGCTGCTGGCAGACTGCACCACAGCAAAGACTGTCCTCGGGTAATAAATTCCTGGTCATCATGGAAAATCCTTTTCTGGGTCTTTTCTGCCCAGTAATGCACATAATTTACAATAATAACACACTGTGGGGCAGAAACAAAAGATGTAATCAACTCCCAATAGCTTGTGGAACACACCAGGATGTTCAGAGGTGGCACCACTCCATACGTCATGGTGGGTTTCCTCCTAAGTTTTACCTTTCAGGTTGTACAGCTTTTCTTAAAGAGCATTTAGAAAGGTAGCAGGAATGGATGACAGCTGGACATTAAACAGACCAGAAACACAGGTCAATTCTTCTTGAAGTTCTTTTTCAGTTTGTTTGTTTAATTGAAAGCATTTAATTTTTTTTCTCTTTATGACCAGAGAAGCTGCAGGGAGGCTGGAATCGGAGACAGCTGCACCATTTGGGCTTCACAATGAGCACATGTGCAGTAGGCATGAGTACAAAACGCACGCCCATTTGTCCACAAAATCTGATGCGTTTACACACACCAAAAAACGGACTCAGAACCTTCATCTGAGTCAACAGGAATTCACAGCACTCAATACATACGTGATCAGTTTTGCAGAATCACAGAATGACGTGATTTGGAAAAGCTACTGCAAAGTCGTTGAGCCTGACCTCCTGCGTAAACCAGTTCCACCCACAGACAGTCCCTCAGCCCTGAGGGATTCATCCAAGGCAAATTTTTGAATTTCTAAAAGAAAAAGATTTTCCAATTTCCAATTCCTTTTGGCAACCCTCCTCTAAACTGATCTGTGTGTCAGCTTTGTTACCGTGCTGAGATTCTGCAAGAACTGGACAATGCATATCCACAGCAACCTCAACAGTGACAAGGGAATAAACACATGCCTCAACCTGTTGGCTACCCTCATACTTGCAATGCCTGGGATGTACTGAGCTGCCTCCAAGTGCACACTGCTCATTTCTGTTCCATTCCTCCTCCAAGACCTCCAGCTTCCTTTCTGCAGACCTGTAGGTTGAGTGGGGTTACTCCATACCACAGTGCAGGACTTTGCTAGACTTCACAAGGTTTCCATAGCTCTTTTCTCCAGCCTCCTGAGTTCCTTTGCAAACCCAGCCCTCCGCTCCACATGCGTAGCACAGAGTCAGTGCATGTGCCCTCTGCCTTATTACAGAGAAGATCATGTCTAGGTTTAATTGCTCCTCCTATTTTTGTGTGATTGAAGCACATAACTATCACTGAGAAAAAGAAATATCCAAGGAACAGTTTCACTTTGCCAAGTCTCACTTCTTACAGCAGGCCAAGAAGAACCTTCAACGCTCTCACAGGTCCCACTGCATGCTCCCTAGACAAGGGGCTGCCAGGCTGGCTAGCTCCCATTTCCTTTGGAATTAAATTACTCATGAAAAGCAGAGCTCTCTTTAAAAACACAACTGGTAAAACCACATACAAAACACATCCTCTCCTTATGAAAATCTCTAGGTGATTTGCTGAATCAGTGTATTACTCTCTTCAAACAGTAGCAGCTACAATGGCCTTCTTCAAAGTAGAAGTGCAAATGGTCCACAGAAAATCACATAAAATGAACTCTTTGAACAAATGTTGTTATCAGACACGTTTTATTTTTTTTAAGTTTTATCCCCCTATAAACTAAATCTAATTCTTGCAAAGAATACTAAGCCTCCGCAACATTTTCATCTTCTGTTCCTTCTCTTAGATCATTAACTCTCAGGAGTAACAACCATATTTTTGTTGCTCATGAAATATCCAGCAGAACAGCCATCTCTTCTGTGACCACAACTTCTAAGTAGTATTATATAAATATATATTCACTGCTGCCCCCGGTAACACAGATGGAATGATTTATGTCTGCCAGATTTAGAGTTCTATTGAAACAGCAGCATTCTAGCCAGGAGGTCCAAGATGTAAGCAAAGCAGAAACTTACCTTCTCTTGATGGTAAGCATTGCTCCTAAGAGAATAATAACAAACATCAGAAGCCCAGCTATAACTCCAGCCATTTTCACTGTGCTGTCAACTTGCTTTTCTGGCTCCACTGCATTGGAATTCTGGGTGGAAGCTCCTTAAAAGATGGAGGGAAAGGAGGGAGAAGATAAAGAGAGAACTTGTAGAAAAATCTTGCAACGATCCAGTTTTCATACTCACTTGAAAGCCTAAGAACATATTTGCAATTATATTGCAGCAGGCCATCTCATTTACTTTCTGCCTTTTAGAATGACCAAAGCCATAAATTTCAGGGCAGCGTTAGGGTGCAAAATCCCAGGGTAAGGAACTAATATTTTGCAGTATTACACTATATTCAGGAATTTAATGTTGTGATGCATTCAGCATACACCCAGAAGCAGAAGGATTAACAGCAGTTATAATTTTCATCCCAAGCAGCTTAAGTGAAGGTGCAAGCCTTACTCATCAAAATGGTGGGTGTAGAAGTTTGCATTTCTATATCCCATAATACCACTTGCAGAAACTTTGTTTTTCTTAAACCAGAACAAATTTGTATTTCTCACTATTTGGAAAGCCTGGCTCGTGTGACCACACCATGACAGTCACAAAATTAACAAGCATCAGCCCAACTCACAGAGCCCCCTCCACATCGTCTCATGTATTCCATGCAGGAGTTCTTCTGTGGCTCAGGCAAGGAAACTTTTTTAAACAGCACATCCTACACACCTAAAAACGACATTTACAAAGCATTTCTTCTTTTACCTATTTGTTATAATCTGACTTCAAGAGTCCTTAGCCCTGCAGTAACATAGTATGCGTTATACACCTTAGCTCTGTCGATGTTGTCACAGCTGCACATAATTTTTTCTAAATAACACCTAAAGCACAGAGCTCAATTTTGAAAGCCTTGCAAGATTGGAGTTGTGGGTAATCTGAAGACTAAGTCAGCCTATTCTTATTATATTCTTAATCTATGTAACTACCACTAAGAATAACATATTTGCATTTGGTGGAGTTAAGTGAATTCACGTTGCTTGAGATCACAATTCTGTCTTGGGCTTCACCTTTGCTGCTGGCATCAGCAGGTCTTCCCCTGCAGATCAGACACAGAACAGGCAATAAGATGTGAAAGCAGTGCTGTCATGAGAAGACAGTAATGCTCTGCTCTTTTCACAGCTCTATTGCTGACCTCCTGGAAAAGCTGAACTATTTCTGCTCATGTAGCAGCTGCTCGTGGCAAGGATATTCAATTGAGCCCATATATTGGTGAGACCGTAGAAAGCCTCACTGTGTTGCTCTTCTGCCCCTTTGCCACTTGTTAGTATGTGTGAGGTCTGAAAGATGAGTCCCATGACCACAACCATGCCATGTAATACAGGCTTGCAAGTATGTTCCGAGTAAGGCCTAAGCCAATGGACCTCCTGGGACGAGGATCAGATCTCGAATAAAGTATTACATGCTTCTCTCATCTTATCTTGAAGGGTAAACACAGAACAATGACACAATAAATGCAAAACACGAAAACTCACCACATGCAGTGATAAAGGTATGATTTTGGCTTTCCTAAAGCTAAGCTGTTAATCTAGTTTGCCACAGGAAAATCCAATATTTACCAAGCAAGAACGTTCTTTGCTGTTTGAGGCACACATGTAATTTTCAGCTTTCTGTCCCTGACAATTGCACTGCTCTGCAGCGTCCACCAATTTTCCCATTCACTTAAGAGCTCAGCAGTAACTTCTGTGTACACATCTAAAATACACTGAAGGGACTCCTGAGCAGGAAATAAAATAGCATATCAGCTGCATATTACCATCATTGTTTGACAACATCTCATAGAACAAATCTGTCCAAGAAGCAAGCTGTATGTCATTGCACAGGCAATCCTGATGCTATTGTGTAACAAAATAAATTATAAAGGTACAATTTCACCTTGAAAATGGCTGAAACTCTGTTTGTTTGATGTGCAAATAAGTAGCATTCCAAATTACCCTTCACTTGTATTGCAGTTACTCCTATGACCCTAAATGATAGGTGTTGGAGAATCGCTTACAGCCACGGATGGTGCAGTCAGACCCACCCATTTCTGTTCCATCCGAGTGCCCTCACCAATTGTGAGCCATGTTAAAAAATAAAAAAAAAAAAAAAAAAAAAATCAGAATGTGCTGTCAGCTCCATCCTCTGATTCTCTGGATTGGTTTGATTCTGCCAGGCTGTTGCTTATTACTACAGGCAATGTGTGCGGAGTGTATTTTTATTTGATATTTCTCTTCCCATTGTAGACTAGTGCAGCTCTAGAAAGAGACTAAAGCCTCATTATCCATCCTGACACCTACACGCTGTAGTGACTGATTCACTCGGATCTTCTGTGCAACTCTTCCTATCTGTCTTGGCAAAGGCCAATGATTCCTTTAGGCTACTAGTCCAACCATTTGGAAGTTGTCTTAGCTGATAGCGCCGAGGAATTGATAATATGACAGTGCCAGTAATTTCCTGAGCCTCGCATTCTTAAATCTTTGCAATGAAGCAATCCCACAGAAGTGCACTGTTCTCTTGCCACTCCATCGTAATTCTCCTGTAGATGCCTAAACCTGCTATGGCTGTGCCACCACCATTTGGAGGCAAGGAGACCATGTCGTTGCTGGGAGCAGGAGGTCCATGGGCTGTTGTGCAGTTGCAGAAGATGGCTTTTGCTGCTCCTGACAGAAACAGTTTAGAATTCAGTTCTGCTTCTCTCTGTCACACATGTGGACCTGAAATCTTCTGGGCACAGAAGCCCATAAAAACTGGCTGTTTCATTTCATAAGAATACCTTTAAAAATGCTTTTTCTTCTGAAAAACAATGTTTATATTCTGTTTACATCAAAAGGGAAAAACAAAACTACTATAACCAGTTCCTAGCAGTGACTTCCACCACATTTCCTAGGACAAATTGTTCCTCGTAACTGCAGCCTGGATGCCGATACAGCAGGGTGCAGCACAGGTCACTGCTGTTATTGCTGTGTGTATTTCAGTGGCACCCAGAGACCCCCACTGAAGGCAGGACTCCATTACAGTGCACTAACACGAGCAGGACAATTTCCTGCCCTAAGCTTACTTTCTTAATAGGGAAGCTAAAAGACAGACAACAGATCCCAAAAAGAGAATACCACAGCTCCCTTGACTCCCTGCCTGTGTTTTATCTACTAGACAAGTTGCAGCTTTCAGGGATACATGTGTATGTATGTTTTGTATTTATGTACTGTACAAAATGCACTGTCCTATAAGTGCAGCCAGGGCACGGATCTGACTTCCACAGGCACTGTCATTCACCCAGCACTCCATTGCATGTTCATATCTGTTTGAAGACTGCAGTCCTTCCCCACTGACCTGGTCTGCTTTGTTGTTTCAGCCTTTCACGATTCCCAGAGTGAGATGTGGCACCTTGCAGACAGGACACGGCCCAAGCTATGTGCTCTTGGGAGATGCTGCTCCCGTGTCACTGCAGAGATCAGAGCAAATGTGTTCTTTGCAGCCACTCACTCATCTCACCAGGCAGGAGGAGTTGGGCTTATGGCTCAGCGAGCAGCAATGGCTTCAGTAATTTGCTCACAGGCACCTGACATCTACCACAGCCATCCCGTTGTGGGCGCAGACACCTGAATCCCAGACTGCTGCAATATCTGACTACTGACAAAATGGTTTGGTGCTGCACCAGATCCTCAGGCTTTCACAGCCTTCTGATCTTCCCGCTGCTCCAGATCCTGGTTAAAGCTGGCACTGCCGTGGCTGATAACTTAAGGATGGGAATTCTGAAATTCCAAATGAATCCCAGCAGAGAGGGCTGCCGCTTGTATTCCAGAGTAAGATCTGCCAGATGATTTCTTCGGCTGAAAGAATTTCTGCCCATGAGGAAGAGCTGACTGCTGCTCTCCCTGGGAGATGGCTTGCAAGTGATTCCAACAGCCAGAATTTGAGCTCTTGAAAAGGAGACAAAGCCTTCCTCAAAATACTGGAAAAGTGAAAAATGCTCCACTTACCAGCCAGTATTCATTCGCAGCATTAGACATTTCTAGACTGATATCCGTACCTACTTTAAATCCTCTAAATGCTCATGCAAGGTAAGTAATAAATGATGCTATCTCCTTTACAGATCCGGAAGGACTTAAGAGGATGCCTTGGGTACCAGACAGCAGAGCTGAGCACTGCCATTTTGAGACCAACAGCCATCAGAACACAGCACCTTTCGTAAATGGGGGAAAGGGAGAAACAGAGGTAGCATCTGAGTGGAAGATGGCAGTCTTACACCTGGCAATTCAGAGACTGATGCACCTAAAAATGAGCAGTGCCAGTGTCAGGGATGCACAGACAATTACCTGGTGAAGACTAGGCTTGGTCTTAAAATTGTAACACCAAATAATTATTCCCATGGGGAGAAAATCACTTTTGTAACAAAAACTAATCAGAAAAATTACCTTAAAGTAACAGTTAACCCAGAAAAATTAAGGAAAAATAATGGGTTAAAAGTCTTTAGGAGTTCAAAGAAGCTGCTCAATTAATCAGAGTAATTTCTTTGCAGCATATAATGGCTAGGCAGTGTGCTGAACGTAACAGACCTGCAGGCTGATTTCAAAAGACAATTATTCTCCTTTCACTAGTAAACAATATTTCCTATTTTTTTCCCTTTCCTTTTACAGCACCTTCTTCGCAAGTAACCTTAAAATATTCAAAGTAACTTTGCATCTAGAATTATTTTCCCCTGTATTTTCAGATTATATCTACACCTCTGAAGCTCAATCTTAGATAACCAGACACAAGGGCAGGCCTCTAACGACAACACTTCACCTTGGCTATGCCTTTGGTTGCTGCATTTCAGCAGAAAGGAGCACCACCACCACCACCACTCTCACTACACATCACACTGCTGTGCCAATTTTCCACCCCCAGTTACTGAGGTCTGCAAACAGCACAGGATTACTTGCTCTGGCTTCAGAGCACGAGACATTCTCATTTCTTTAAAAAAGCTCAAAAGGAGTGGAAAGAATGATGAAAGCCAAAAGCTTTCAACCATATTCTAAGTGAAAAGAGCAGCAAAGCAAAGCAGTCCTGGACAGAGAGACTGAGCAGAATTTATATGAGAGA